CCAAGGCTGGTGTTAACATTGGGTTGCTTCCGGGGATGCATTTCCCTTATGTTTCTCACCCGGATGTTTTCGCTAAATATGTCGTTGAAACTACGAAGAAGTATCTTTGAATGGTACACTGCCCACTGACAAGACGCGGGGGAGAGGGCAGTCGACATTTTATATTCACTGGCAACGTCATATATACATAGACGCGGGAAATCGTTTGATCATTGCATGGCCACAGGATAATCAGATGGATCGAATTTATGGCTCTGGAGTCGGCGCATTTTAGCTACTGGCATGTCGCATTATAACATACAGTTAAGTACCTTAGACATACAATGCAAATTCGATTCACTTTTTGTCATATTTCACGTCCAATGCAAATGAGACACCCCAAGAAAGAGGACCGATTTTAACTACGTAGATTGATTGATTGATGCACTCTCAATCTCCGCAATAATTTCCTAGGTTGTTGACTCCCTCCCTTTGGACTTGCCAGACAGTTGATGTGCTCAACCCAACTTACTCTTGATAAAGGCCAGAGCCTGCTGCCCGTAAATGTTAACGTACTGCTGGTGGTGGTTGGCATCGTTTCCGTTGCAGCAGTACGGGTCCGCCGAGTCGCAATAGCTCTGAACCAGCGAGGGATTGTACGGCGAGCACGTGAACCCGGCTGGACGGGCAGCAAACTGTTATAAATTAGCTCATCCATTCAATAAAGATTGTGAATTCTGATATCCTCCGCCGTCACTTACCCCGCCAGCCGTACATGTGCCAACATTGTACGGCAGACCTGCCCGGTTATGGGGATCCCCCATGAAGATCGCAGCCTTGACAGCAGCCAACGCGTTCCCAGACAGAGTCGGGCCCTGCCCTCCACACAACGCGTTGTCGATGATCTGCCCGCCCTGGGAGTACCCGATCAGTACGATCTTGGTGTTTGGGCACTGCTGGTTGTAGCTCGTCACGGCAGAGACAACGGCCGAGGTGCCCTGCTGGACCGACGAGTCGTAGCTCACGCCGCCGCAGCTCGACTGCCCGCCGCACGCCGGGTACGAGATGGCCGCGGACTGGGAGCCCGAGTAGGCCTGGAGGACCATGTTGACGAGGCCCCAGGAGGTGCCGTAGCCGGGGGACACGGTGGTCTCGCGGGCGCCGAAGACGTAGACGCCCGGGCACGATTGGCGTGGTTCTAGGGGGGTTGCGGCCGCCGTTGAGGCGAGGACTGGGAGGATGGCTGAGAATTTCATAATTACAGCCGGTCTGTTGTAATTGTTAATTGGATTGGAATAGAGTAATCCGAGAGGAAGTAATTCTTGCGTGTTTGGTTGTATTTACTTGAGTAAGTCTGTACTGGGGGCAACAATTCTCCAGCATCCGGCTGGAACTGTCTCTATTTATGTATGTAAATTTGTGTAAATGAATATACATAAATTCAGGTTGACTCTGTTGCTGTTTGGACGTTGGAAATTTAGCCTGAAACTGACCGACGTCAACAAGGAGATCACCCTGGCCTCGGCAAGGCGACGGATGGGTTGCGTCGGATCGTGACCCTCCGAGATCGAGTCCCCCGGGAGACTTGGGGTATACAGAACAGAAAACCTTCTGATTCGACCACGAACGTCAGAATCGAATGGCTTGGGAATTAAGGGACAGAAACCATTGATGAAGCATGTCTGAAAGGCAGGCTGGGCAATATCTCAAGCCTGTTAACCATATATTTCTAGTAACAGAATAGCAAGTACCGATTGCCAACTGCCTCATTTGGTGTTGCTGTCTCATAGTCAGGCGACGATGATTCGACCACTGATGCTTGATAACTTTGAATCACAAAGGTATGAAACTATCCCCAAGTGCAAGGTCCAATTGGGAGTCTTGGCTGAATTCAGAGGCTAAAGTGACGGTAGACTCGATTTGAGGCAGATCAGTGGCACCAATGCTAGCATCTATGAAACCTGGTCAACTGACGAGGCTCAATTGGGCTGATGGGATGGAGGCTCCGGAATGTCATAGCGCCTACCTCGTGTTGGAGTATGCAAGCCCCAGGTTTTAAAACGTTCCCAGGACGGAACTGGAACACCAGCCTCTAAACAGGGTTACAATTTATGACTCCATTTGCCGCAATGAGATGCCGTGGCAAGGGTTCGGAAACAAGTGCCGCAGCAGATTCATGCATCCCACCCTGCCGAGCAAGGCACTTTAACCCAGGGCTGTAAACATGGGTAATATCACAGCTTGTTGGTCAGTTGCCGAGTTGTGTATTTCTAAATGATGATCTCGTTGGAGCCACCCCGATGGTTGAACAGGCTAAGTATGGTGATCCCTTCAAAACACCCAAGTAGGGAATTCGATAACAGCCTAAAGGGCCCATGTGCCTCAATTGAGCCTCTAGCGGCAGGGAATATGTCGATCATGGGTTCCAAGAGATCCTCAATTGGATGTCTTTGCCCAGATTTAGTGGTGTTGCGCGGAGCTGTCGCCTAAGCCAAGGATATTTAGCACGAGTGGTCAATTGGTGAAGTAAATTCATACCAAACTTGTTATGAACCGCTCGTATAATCCCAAGGCTCATTCGGTCATCCTACGGCAAAACACCTAGAAAGATTCACTCGGCATCTTCTATATATTGTAGGGTGATACCTCTGTATAAGTGCCGACGCTGGAGGGCGTGCAGCGGCGCAAGATTTCTTCATAGTATGGTATTGTGTAAGGCTTCGACTATTTCTCTATTGGTAGCTATGGTTTATGAGCTCAGCTACAAATCGAGGACGGCATTAGTAACTACTTTGAAACACCTTTCATGAAAGTCCATGGGCTATAAAGATATCCAGCTCGACCAAACCAAGTATATGGGAGCCAAAACCGCCCTTTCCCATCAAGTCCTATTTCTCCCCAGGAATTTTGGATCAAGAAGCAGCCCTCTGTCACTCCATTACCAGTACTAACGGAATCATTCCAGCCGATAGCGACAACACAATGACCGCCCGTCGCTTGAGCTGCATTCGTCTCTAGAGGCAATGACAAAACGAAGGGGTACTGGCGGGGATCGTAGCCCTTGATATCCAGTGACGGGAATGTCAAGAATGCAAACACGACAGGGTAGCCAGACTTGATGCAGCCCTTCCAACAATTGACGGAATGATCACTCATGCTGGGATCAAGGTGAGGGCGCGCATAGTTCAAGCCCTTGTGCAAGGCGGCAGCTTGGAAGGCTTGAAAATTCGGGACCAGCGAAACAAAGTTCTCGTCATACGGCCAGCTGCTAGGCGTGCTCACGATGTCTGTGGCATTTGCAGCCTCCTGCGGCACGCCTAGTGTTGTTACGATCTTGATGACATCGCGAGGCATGGCCCCTTTATCTATTCTCTCAGGGGTTGTAGGGGGTGAGTTGGCAAGACGCTCATAGAATTCAGCTTTGACAACGCCTTCGGGCGATTTATCCTGGGGTGCTGCGTTGTCTTCGGCATATCGAGCTACATAGTGTAGGAAGAGACGCGAAGGCTTGAATGATGAATCCGCCACCTGCTGCCGCTGAAGCTCGAACCGATATGCTAGAGCTATGGCGTTTGAGGTACATGAGTTGACATGCAGCTGGTTGTAACAGTGCTTTAGCTCATAGGGCTTGTTTAGACCCGTTGGGGGGTTGACAGTAACATCAAATGAACCAGTCAAGTCGGACATATCCATGTTCATCTTCGCCATATCGACATCGTGATCCCGTGGATCATCGATATCCTTAATAGCTCCATTTAGGACTGTAGACATGTTTAAAGCGGATGTTGGAAAGTAGAGAAACTGAATGTATTGTAAAAATTGGAAAAGGTTTCCAAGATGGCCTAATCTTAAAGCCAACACGAACAGCTATAACGAGGCTCTGATAAAGAATTCAAAGGCAATTATATATATACACATATTGTCAGATGAGAGAGTGGCAGCCCACCAATAAATATGTTATATCTCTGTCCTGTTGACATCCTGCATGAGTTCCGGACTAGGCTGAGCGACATTTCTGGGCTCCAATCCAGCCTTGATGTATTGCCACTATTGGTTCATGTGATTTTCGTCGAGTGCGATTCCATGGCTCTTATTGGTAAGGCATCTGAGTTCCATGGGGCAATTATTGAAGCCTGCTGGGGTTAAGGCGATGATTTAGTATGGTCGTCATACCTAAAAGTTTTAATAGTTTTAGGGCAAATGACACTATTGGTACAGGGTACCCAATCGATATCACTAACACGTACTACGGCCGCGACGAGACGTGCCGTGCCGTGGGCAAGGAGGTGGGGGATCATTGATAGACATTATGACCTAGATAAAAATCAGAGCAGTCTAGACTTGCAACGATGCTGCTTCAGCTGTGTTGTGCCCCTGTCTGGACCCATGGTCGAGTCTCAATCTAGCGTGATCGAGACCAAGAGCAGCTGAGAATTCCAGCCGAGTCTCGTGCGTAGGGAACGCCGAGCTGACGCCCGACGGACGCGCAGCTGGTACGGGCCGGTTGGGGCCAAGTTTGATTGCCTACATATTATCATCAGGAGGGGCAGATTAGTTAGCCCTACATAGGTCTTGTCACTATGTCCAGTTCTTGAATTGTGGCCGAGTTGTGGCTGAGCAAGCGACCTTGAGCATGTCTTGAACCGGCAGCGTTTTGTTGGGAGAATGAGCCAGATCAAACTAACCCAATATAGAAAACGGAATCGATTGTTCTTCAGGAATGAATACAACGGTTAAAGATGTCTTGGAGGTCCGTTACAGCTGTCAACTGTAACCGTGCTAAATTTTAATACTTAATGGTGGACAGCGGCCCGCCCCAGCGCGCTACCAGAGCTTAAGCGACCCATCTCCCCAGTAATTGGCCTTCCCCAGCATGGAGCTTAGTGGATTCAGATAGGCGATAACGAGCGATAAGACAGACGCGACAGACGCGTCGAATTTGTGAACCAAGGCCGACGGATCCTCAGCCACCAGTACATCACAGCCCGGAATTGTGTGTCTTTGGTCAAGCACCCCATATGATGGAGAAGTACGATTGCCTGTTTAGTCTTGTTAGGTCTTCTACTGTGTTCGTTCGTCATGCTAATCTCGACCTCCTCGCTACAGCTACTACGTCCAATCGTCGCCATCATGGTCGTCCGGTCTCCCCACGCCCGACCGTAAAGATGCACTTGCAGCCCATGGCGTACTATCACCACCTGTCTCCCGAGATCGAATACCCCTAATACCCATCGAAGATATCGCCGATGATCCCTTCCTTAGCTCCCCCGAGACTAGTCCTCGACGCCAGGCCCTGAAGCAAACCCCGTCCGGAGACAAGCGGAAACGAGAGGCCGCCCCCAAGCCGTTTTCACCCTCGAAAGTAGTTGTGATTTCGTCCGCTTCGAGTAACGAGGGCTTGCCTCCGACGAAGCGGCCAAAAGAAGCCATATATATCGATCACGAGGAGCTGGAGCTGGTCAAGAACGACCCAGACTGGCTCCGGAAACGGTCTCGCGAGTTGATGGATGACGATGACGATGCCGGTCCAAGCGAACAACTACCCACCGCAAACCCAACCTCCCATTCCACTGACGAGACAAACCAAGAGGCTCCCGCAACTGGGCAACCAAACCCAGACCCTGAGACACCTCAAAGCGACGACCCGGAACTCTGTCCAGAGCAACAGAAGGTGGTTGATCTGATCCTCAGCGGCCGCAATGTCTTCTACACTGGCTCTGCCGGCTGCGGCAAGTCAACCGTCCTGAAAGCAGCCGTCAAGAGGCTCCGAGATCAGGGAAAGTCCGTGCACATTCTCGCACCTACAGGGAGAGCAGCACTCCAGGTAGACGGGATGACCACATGGACCTACATGGGATGGACGCCCTCCTTTCACCAACTGGATCTGGAGACGCTCCTTCAAAGGACTCATCGGAAGCACGTGCGGAGACGGTTGCTCCGGACCGACGTTCTCATCATCGACGAGATTAGCATGGTAGAGAATCATCATTTGCAGCGCATGGACGTTTGTCTGCGGGAAGCCAGGGAGTACGGCCAAAAGGTAAAGCACCCCTTTGGAGGGTTGCAAGTCATTTTTACTGGCGACTTCTGCCAGCTTCCCCCGGTCAAGCCTTTCGAGTATTGCATGTTCTGCGGTCTGAAAACCAAGTTGGACACTTGGGGGACGCAGTATGAATGTCCCAAAAAGCATGGTCCATTCAAGGAAACGGACAAATGGGCGTTTCAAAGTCAAGCCTGGAAGGATGCTAACTTGGAACACGTTCATCTGAACGAGATTCATCGCCAACACGACGAAGACTTCATCAAGATCCTACAGAGATGCCGGCGCGGCGAGGCTTTCGACTCAGACGATGTGGAGCTCCTCATGAACCACGAGTGCAACGTTGCCAATGCCACACGCATCCTCTGTACTAGGGAGGAGGTGAATGGAATCAACAGGGCCGAGTTTGGAAGGCTAAGATCGGAGGTGCACCAATTCACGGCCGTTGACGGCTTTAGGTGCAAACACCCATACCTTAAGTACATCAATGACAATGGCAACAAGAATGAGGATGGGACACTGAAAGCTCTTCGTGAGCATCGAATCGACCCACGGGTTGATCTCCGCGTGGGAATGGTCGTCGTGCTGCAAGTCAACCTTAACCTCTCCGAAGGGCTTTGTAATGGCAGCCAAGGCTTGCTCTGCGGCTGGGAGGACGTGGATCCGAACAATCTCCCATATGCCTACCGGAGGAGAGAGGCTGAGTCGGGGTTGGGGCCAATGGCCATCACTGGGGACTACGCAGATCTAAAGGAGGAACAGATCAGAAAGTTTTCACAGCAGGAGCACGTCAGACAGTGGCCGAAGGTGATGTTCCAAATAGGCGAAAAAACCATAAGAAGGACCATCTATCCCTCGTGCTTTATCAACACGATGGGCGAAGGAAAAGACCCTCAAGACTTCTCTGTCCTTCACAGGACTCAGATCCCTCTCGTCGCCGGATGGGCCATGACCGTGCACAAGAGTCAGGGCATGACCTTGAACCGTGTCATTGTCGATTTGTCGAGGGCTTTTGAAGAGGGTCAGGTGTATGTGGCCCTCTCTCGGGCAACCAATCTACAGGGTCTCCGAATCGATGGCGGTGCGAAAGCCCTGGAAGACAATGTGATGTGCAATGCCGAGGTGACGACATTTCTGCGCGAGAAGTTCGAATCACTAGAGCTGCTGGAAAACCATTGACCTGCCAGCAGATTCTGCTCGGTGCATGTCCCGGTGTCAAATCAATTGGAGGCGAATGCTGAATGGCATATTCCCATCGATCGGGCTGACGCGCCGCCCAAAGGAATGCTCCTGCACCGTCCAGCAGGTCCTGCATTTTACCACCAATTAACCGGGGAATCTACCATTAATATGTTGAGTAGTCCCATCCGAGATTTTGGATGTTGTCAGAAATGATCCCATGTTTATATTGGCTAGTTGACATTGGGTTAATGAGCGTGTTTTGGATCAGATCTTCCAAGCCTGGATAGCTTCCGAGGCTATTGCAGCATGCTACCCACGCCTTTTTCAATTGCTGTCTTGTAGTGCCTGTGGAAAAGTGCATTATCGACGACGGCGGCTCTACATGAGCTACCACCGACTGCCCGCTAACATATTCATCCATCTTGGACATCGAAAGGGGCCGTACGCGGCTGGATTCGGCAGAGGCGCGAGCCGATGTAGAGAAGGAAGTAGTGAGCGCCTGGTTTGGCATCTCCTGGGCTGTTGGATGCCCTGTTGTTTAGCTGAGTGGCGGCGGCGAAGCCAATGAGGGAAACGCGAGTAGGGAGTAATTTCGCGATGGAGTGGTGGAGAGCTGACAGGGTACAAGCTCAGGTAATTCTAAAGTGAATGAATTTGACAAGCATTGAATCGAAGTTGGGCTGAGCGATTACTACACTCATAGGCAACTCTGTATGTTCCACTAAGCTACAATCAGGATGAATGTTCCAGCTTGTATGCAAAGCACGGAAGGAAAAGATCTCATAAGGCTGAGACTGGGTGTTGGCTGATGCCTGGAACTTGGGTGTGCTCTGACATGGATGTTAGATCCTCTTGCTCGTGCGCAGAGTACATCGTGCTGATGCGAAATCCCCCCAATGGCAGCTTATTTACATGTATTTTTTCATCATCTGGGTATAATTGAAATATCGGCCGAGCAAAAGCCCTTAATTGTCTGACCACAAGGCGTGTCGCCATCGCGACTCTTGTCTCCTTTTTCTTTTTCTCCTTTATTAAACTCGACCGAAGTCCATCTCAACGAATTCTCTCGCTCTCAGGCATTCAATTCCCAGCCATTTGGCGCTTTTCCCTCCCGCCGCTTCAATTGATAATTGGTCATCTCAGCACCAAACAGTTTGACCATGTCTGCCGTGAACCGAACAGCCGACTCGGCATCGGACACCGCGCAACGGTACCTCGTGCAGCCAACAAAGAAGAAGATTAAACCCGCCGATCTCAACCCCGAGCGACGGATGCGCCGGCAAAACGAGGCTGAAAAGCCTGCTGCTGCCGCCTCCGGGACCAACCAGCAGCAGAAACTGTACAGCGAGTGGCCGCAGAGGAAGAGCCATCCCGCGACTCCCGCTGCAAACGCGACCCCTGCGAACCACCAGCCGCACAGAAACGCCGGCACGTTTCCTATCTTGAGGGCCTTCTCGTACGAGTCGTTGATTATTCTGGCCTTGTTTCTTTACTTGGTGTGGAGTGTGGCTGGTTGGCGCAGTACTGACGATTCTTACTTTGCGTAATCTCGAATGTCTACGACGGGGGAAGGAATTGTATTGGAAATGAGTTTATATTCCGAATCAATTGCACGAAATTGTCTTTGGAGGAATCAAAAATTGGAGTTGAACCCTGCGGAATAGCGATCGACTTTGTGTATATGAAAACGAGAACCGTTGAGAAAGGAACAGTATACTTACAATAATTTACCTGGTTTGCTTTCAATCGAGATAATGGCTGGAGAGATGTGGTCGAAGAGGGACTTGTTATATGAGACGCACCAATACTAAGAAATACATTTCTGGGGTATTTGCTCCTCATCCTCTGTTCTGATACAAACTTGATAACATTGTATCGGTTAATGCTCCCAAGCTCGCCATATTCTGCCTGATTTAACCCCAAGGAAAACTTCGTAAACCCGATCAAAATGGACCCAGGAAATGTTACCTGACCATTATTCACCATGGTTTCTGTAACATTCAACAAAAACAGGCCGTGCGACTAACTAGGTTTCATTCGAAACTACTCTCGATTCAATGGGGCCTATCTCACCCGAACTTTAGGATTAGACGTTGCTGAACTCCTTGAGCGTTACTGTCTGGGTTCTGGAGACAGACAATACGGGCAGACTCAACAAGGTCGCATCACACAATAAAATTCAGTCTCTACATAGTGAGTGAGGCATACCACTAACTCACCCAAGTCTTTGCACACTCTGGACTTCTCTGCTAGCGGCATCGCCATGTTCCATGCTCGAATTGTGGCCGAGGTAAAGCACAATGAGCAGTCAGATCTTGGTACTGCCATTTGACAATATGGACAAATCCATCAGATACACCAAGTTTGTCGTTTCACTTACGAGCTCTCCCTAATTGCGGCGGAAGATAATACGGAACTGATTTTCAAATGTGTAATTGTCATGTCCCTTATAAAGCAACAGGCAGAGATCGCAACCTCGGCCATTTTGGGGATCATTGGAGCGCTCCCTGTTGCTCCACAATGCTTCATGATTTCTACGTAGCTCTCGCTCTTGGGCTTACTGTGGAGGATTTAATAATATGAAATAAACATTGCGCCTATTACTAGGTTATATAATCATTCATCATATAGAGAAAGCCAAAATACATTCGTACAGGGTTTATCATGTCTAACTCACAATTATCTTATCGCTATGAGATCGTGAGAAATGTATAGCTGTATGGGCTTTCAGCAGAGAAATCCAAGTTGGAAATGAATGTCATGACTGCCCATTTCGACATCTGCTGTATCAGCACAAGAGTCTTAAAGAACAAACCATGAGAGCAATCACATACGCAAATGCCTTAAAAATGCCAACACACTAAACAACTAGAATTGAAAAAGATAGCTGCACATTGGTGCTCTGTGAAAAGTATTGATACATTTGAAGAGTTCTGATGAAGGATCACCCATCGAGAAAACGAAGCTGTTCTGCAACTCTCCTAAACGGTAACCAACAGACAACTTCAACCCAAAAGTCTTGCGAATCATGTACATCCTGCCTCATGAGGTTTGTGGCAAACCTTACTCGAGGTCCTCCCAGTCACGCTCCTCGAGCTCATCGATATCACGCTTACCACGGCCACCACCACGGGGGCCATGGCCCTGGTTACCCCAGCTCCTGCGGTCATCGCCGGGTCTGTTGGTGCGCTCCTCGATATCACGCTTGCCACGGCCACCACCACGGGGGCCATGGCCCTGGTTACCCCAGGACCTGCGGTCGTCACCTGGTCTGTTGGTGCGCTCCTCAATATCTCTCTGGTATTTCAGACGACGCTGTCGCTGCCCCCAGGTCTCTTTGCCGAGACGGCCAACGCGCTCTTCGATATCACGCTTGCCACGGCGAGGGCCGCCCTGGTTACCCCAGGACCTGCGGTCATCACCCGGCCTGTTGGTACGCTCTTCGATATCACGCTTGCCACGGCGAGGGCCGCCCTGGTTACCCCAGGACCTGCGATCATCACCCGGCCTGTTGGTGCGCTCTTCGATATCACGCTTGCGGCCGCCCTGGTTAGGCCGGCTTGTTCGTGTCTCGCCGGGTCTGTTACCCTGCGCATGCTTTTCACGGTTAGCTGGGGGTTTTTGGTTGCCCCAGCTCGAACGGTTGTCGCCGGGTCTTCCACCTTGCTGCTTCTTGCGCTCATCGCCGGGTGCGCGCTCGTCGATATCACGCTTGCGGCCGCCCTGGTTAGGCCGGCTCGTTCGTGTCTCGCCAGGTCTGTTACCCTGCGCATGCTTTTCACGGTTAGCTGGGGGTTTTTGGTTGCCCCAGCTCGAACGGTTGTCACCAGGTCTTCCACCTTGACCTCCTTGCTTGCCCTTGCGTTCATCGCCGGGTGCTCGCTCGTCGATATCACGCTTGCCACGGCGAGGGCCGCCCTGGTTGCCCCAGGACCTGCGGTCGTCACCCGGTCTGTTGGTGCGGACGAGAAGGTCTTCGGTAGGCTCAGATCGCTCTACGAGGGACAGCTCATCGTTCTGGGTGACTTCGAGGGCGAGTCCCTTGGTGGCGAGGCCGAGCCAGAGGAGACCAGCGAGTCCGAGGTTCTTGGTAGCGACCATTTTGAATGTCAAAGATGGATATAAATGGAAGAATCAAGTACTGAAGAATGTTTGGTTTGAAGTTGCTGTGAAAGACGAATGAAAAGAAAAAAAGTCGATAGATAGGAAAAAAGAAAAACTCAAGGAAAAGGTCTGAAGACCTGCTTCTAGTGTCAGTTGTGTTGTTGGTTTGGTTTGTTGCTGAATGGAAAGCTCAACTTTACGGCGCAGAGCTCAACACTTAAGTACTCATTTGGATCGCATTGGAAGTCTAGGCTGTCGTCACCTTCTAAATTTAGGTAATTGTGCGACTCAGGGAACACCCTGGACGCATCCAAACCTAACATCCTCCTACGAATGGTGCAACACTCGAGCCAGTCGATGAGTGGACTCGCGAACGAGAGCCCGTGCCATCGTTAAGCACAAACCATTCGCCTTCTTTTGATGGAAGAGCTACCCGGCCATGGCTCAATTACGTGCTTGGGTGCAAATCCTCTAGGTCGATAGTGCTGAAACAGCAAATCACTATCCTAAAAGGGGGCATTTTTCGCACTCTATCCAACCAGCAGTCCCCAGTATCCACCCTCAGAGCCATATACTCAGGCCACGGAAACCAGCTAGTCCTTCAACGGTTGGCGGTATTTTTTATTAATATCTTGTTCCGTGCTGCCCGGTATTAACGTGCAAGGATAGTATATCGAAAATCCTAAACTAAAACAGATTGAGAGGCATGGTTCGCGTCCGCCTTGAAGCGACCCCTGGAATCGAAGACTGGCGAAATTTCATGCGATCCCTACTCTTGGAATCCAACATAATGCAGCCTAGATTCTACAAATCTAAAGCCTTTTGGGTTATTTTAGGATGGCTTACGAATATTCTCACCCTTGTTGCGTCTAATTGCTTTTCAAAGAGGAAAGAAGTTCTGAAAAATTACGTGTTGCCAAGACTGTCGATAGAATATAACATATTTTGCGGATATTCTCATAACTTGTCTATTATTTTAGGGGTGATCTAGCGTCTATGGCTTATACAGACCAAGTTTGAATTATAGTCAACTGCCATATATCGCGTATTGAGGCGAATCAAAGACAGAGAATGGCAAGTGTCTCGTCTCGTAGGGATTGCACTTAAGGCTGAAACTTACTAGCACGGTGCTAGTCCGGCGATCCTAACTGGCGTCATTTCGCCTCTCGCGATGAGTATCAAGATTCCATCCTGGTCCTTTCTCAGAAGGATCTCGAAAAGCCAAAGGATTCTACACATCTAGGTTGTTGGTTGGCCTGCACGCAAGGTAGCAAGCATGGGATAGGATGAGGTGATCAATGACACTAACGCAATTCAGGGCTCCTGTTCTGGCAGGGATTTTGAGTCTGTTGTAGGAATCATTACTGATTAGAGCCTGGGGAAGATCCTGACCTGTAGGGTCAGCCGATTCAAAGCACGTGTAAGGAGAAAGACGTGTATGTCCCAGTGTTTCTTGCACTCTGCACATGTAGATCATACTATTTGGATTTGTACATTCTTTGCAGCATTGGATTACTTACGATAATATTAATCTCTTGTGGGGCCTTGTCTTTGGACATCGTAATAGAATCATCGTTTAGTACTATTAGCACCAGAGCTTTGTGTACATGCAGCACTTGCAGCATACTTGCAGGCACAATCAGGGTTACACTGCGTATCCTGGACAATTGCGAGCGTCCATTCAGCATGGATTGGTGAAGGTAGGTTACGTGGCCGCTGTCCACGAGTGCCCCTAATTTACTAGACGTCTTCCTTGGAAGGATTGTCGCTTAGGTTTGTATCAGACCGCTGCGGTAGCATCTCGGAACCAATAGAATCCTTATTATAATGCATTATGGAATGTGATTGGGTCTAACCCGCCTACAGAAGTATTCTACGGTCAGGCCATCGGCGGTCAAAAATGGTTTCCCATAAGCAACAGCTGAGCTAGTGATGATGGTGAGCAGTTGTAGCTTGTGGTGATAATGGGCTCTATGAAGAAGTTGGCCTATCCAAAAATTCCAATAAAAATCAGCTCAAGTCTTAGAATTAGACCGTAGTTGAGCAGCCTACTCGGTAAAGCGGTAATGATTCGCAAACTTCGATGCCCTTTAGCCTGATGTGGAAGATGTTTGCTGCTGACGCCATACGTTCATGTTGCTATACAGACCTACGGATGAATCGCGTTCTCACTGACGGCCAAAAACAATGTTGAGTTCATTGCCAAACCCTTGGGACAATATACTTTCTTTTCGATTGCATTCCAATTTTCGCTTCTAAGAGATCGTACACTGTTCATCTTGACAGATAATCAATACTTACGTGCCCAACTATGGAGGGATGATTGATCTGTCTGCATTCGTTCTACTTGAGCATTTAACATTGAACGCTGTAAACCTTTCTTGCAACGCTGCCAACATAACATGCACCCCTGAGTGTATCCTTACATTGTCAATAAACGCTTTTTGGGAAACTGATGCTAGGTTTTTTTCTTAATTAAAATGTATCTAATCGAGATCTCAAGGCCGGCTGCAACCACGTTGATGGGCATAGGGTAGGACGGATGACAAGGACACTGAAGGCAGCAGATCCCCTAATTTCCCTCCAAGCCCCTGAAATTCTGACAGGCGATCTATGATATGGCCGCGACTGCTGAGATATTGTATTCACATTTTGACATGTAATTATAGATTGAAATTTATCAATCTAATGACAAAGATTGACTCGGTAAGCCTTGAGATTGGTTCCTAGGTGTGTTTGACTTGACAGGTAGAATTGTTTTGGGTAAATGTAAAGTCCTGAAGGATTGATTTGTCACTACACATAAAGCGGTGGCTTTGTGGGCCTGAATCCTTGTCCTCGTCTGTGATATACAGGGGCATTTTACTCGGATTCAATCAATCAATCAATAGAATAAAAATGATCTGATGGTACGAATGAGCAGGTTGAGTTCTACTGTATTTTTGTATTTGCAGCTACCTTCTACAGCGTTACAAGATATCTTCGGGATTAATAACCTCTATTCTAGCCTACCCTGTACGAAGCACAGATGCTGAGTGATTTGCAGTCACAATACGGCTAATACGCAGGCGGCCATTCTTGAAATCCGCAAGAATGCACAACACAATCACTTCGATTTCATCTCAAACTCACCAATCCAAAGATTAATATCCACAGTCGTGCCCACCATGAGTGCTGCACCCAAAGTAGTCGTCGTCTCCTCCACGAATCGGGTCAAAACAAAGGCGGCCAAGGAAGGGTTCCAAGCCCTCCTCCCAGGCCCCTACGAATTCCTCGAAGTAAAAGTCGAAACGGAGGTGGCCGCCCAGCCCTTCTCCGACGCAGAGACGCTCCTCGGCGCGTCCAACCGGGTCAAGAACGCGCGCATCGCCAGGCCCGACGCCGACTTCTGGATCGGCATCGAGGGCGGCGTCGACGAGCACGACGGGAACCTGCTCAACTTCGCCTGGGTCGTGGTGGCGAGCAAGGAAGGCCGCACGGGGAAAGCCCGAACTCCTGCGTACTACCTGCCGGAGGAGTCGGCGAGGCTCGTGCGGGAGGGGCTGGAGCTGGGCCAGGCGGACGACCAGGTGTTCGGGACGTCGGATTCGAGGAGCGGGAGTGGCTCGGTCGGGCTCCTGACTGGCGATGTCGTGGACCGCGCGGGCTTTTACACGCAGGCGGTCATTCTGGCGCTCATCCCGATCAAGAACAAGGACCTGACGTTTAAGTGAGTCGGCCGTCTTTGCTTGGATGGCTTGGGCAATGTATCTACATGTGTTATGCCCGGGATCGGATCTACCCCGCACCCAAGGAGGTGCTTTGGCGGGGCGTCTAGGGGAGAGATGGCTTATCTTCTTAAGTAGGACATCTCCAGTATTTGTATTGAATCGTTGAGCTACTTTCTGGTATCTCATTTACCCCTGACATAGATGTCATCAATCCTAATCACTTCACGATGAAAGTTGCACTTGTCACTGCGTCCTCTGCTGGCCTGGGTGCCGCCATCGCCAAGGTCCTGGCGCCAGATTTCCGTGTTGTCGTTAACTACCACAGTAGCCCTGATCGCGCCGCCAAGGTGATAGCCGAGTTGGAGGAAATCGCTAGTAAAACCACCTCCCAGCAGGACGGCGATGGCCCCAGATTCCTCTCGATCCAGGCCGATTTGGCGAAGCGAGCCGACATTGAGCGCCTGGTATCCGAAACGGTAGAGAAGATGGGCCGCCTCGATGTTCTCGTGTCGAACGGTGGATGGACCCAGCTCCGAGACTTTTCCAACTTTGACGATAATGTGAACGAGGATGACTGGGATAGATGTTTCAACGTCAATGTGAAGAGCCACCTCTTCCTTCTGTATGCAGCCCGAAAGCACCTGGAAGAGGTCAAGGGCTCCTTTGTGTCTGTTGCCAGTACTTCCGGGATCAAACCCAGCGGCAGCTCTATTGTATGTTTTAATCTCGCCTCAAGGTATATTTCTTCCTGCTGACTTGACCTCGTTCAACTAGCCTTATGCCGTCAGCAAAGCCGCCCAGATACATCTTATCCAGTGCTTGACACGCTGCGTGGGCCCCAACATCCGGGTGAACTCCGTCTCTCCAGGCCTCATGTTGACTGTAAGTATCACGGGGGACATCGGGAAGCCAGAAAAGACTTCGTTTTCTAACATACAAATTTGTAGGAATGGGGACGTCGCTTCTCGGAAGAAAAGATTAATCGTACCAAAGAATTAACCCCTTTAAAAGAGCTACCCGAAGTAGATGTAAGCATTTACCCGAAGAGATTGATTTAGGGAAGTGTGCGGCGCTGACTATGTGATATCAGGATGTTGCAGCAGCTGTGAGAAGCCTGGCAGTGAACATGTCCATCACTGGCCAGAATCTCGTTGTTGATTCTGGATTCACGGTATGATACGCTGATGCAGGATATTGACAAATAATTTAAGTATCCTATGAATAGAAAGCCGCTGTCCTCATATAAACAAACGCGGACTTTTGTGACCTGCATCTTTGATCACCTGTTGATCGATCAGCCATAAGACTGATTTGAGTTGGCGGTTTTTATGAACATGCACTTGTGAATATTATCAGTTTCCATCAGTCTATGTGTACAGTTGATGTATGCTTCCTTCGGGACACTATGTCGAATGAATGTAACGAGGATGAAGACGAGATAAGCCCTTGTCCCTGCTTCTTGTTATGCGGTTAGATGCTACGCTGGAGAGAGAAATGAGAGAAGCTAACATTAGAGACTACATAGATTAAAACTCATCATTTACAATGACTCGAACCCTGATTTCAAGGTAGCGCACACTTCGTCAATGAATGCCCCTTCATCACCTTCAATCCCCAACGCCCCCGTTTGCCAGGTCATAGTAACCATCAAACTCCCACCCTTCATAGTCACAGTGTTGACCGTAAAAGGCGGCCCGGCGACATGCCCAGGCTGAGTGAAGACCATCTTCTTGATCACCACGTTTGAGCCGGCCGCCGCATCGACATCAACCAACCCCAGATTGCTCAACTCGATGGAACAGTCTCTCGGCTTGCCAAGCTTGGCCGTCATCCACTGCCGAACGTTCGGAACATAACGAAGCAGGCCGATTGCCTGGTCCTTTAGCTCTGACGCCGTCAGGGCGAACTGCTCGGTGATCTCCTTTGCGTTTGCCCACTCTTCTGGAGTCAGCGGGCCCTCGGCCTCGGAGCGCGCCGTCCTGGAGTAGCAGCCCGAGGCGAACTCGCCCATCTCGTCAGCGGGGACCCCGACGGATCTGCGCATGTTTATCGCTGTCTGGCAGACGAAGTTGGTGATGCGCTTGTCTGGCAGCAGTTTGCTGAGTGCCCGGGCTACCAGGGGATTAACCACACCGGTCAGCTTGGCGTCGTGTTGCCTGGTGGCGCGGAGAGCTCTTTCGACGACTGCGGCTTCGATTTCCACGACCCTGACTTGAGACTTGTATGTCTTGGGGTCAAAGAAAACAGGGGTGGCTATCCATGTCCCCTCATCGCCGTGAGTGATGCTTGCCTTCAATCCCAAAAGATCAAGGATGAATTTCGGGAAGATCTCGCCGCATATCGGACCAAGAAGGAAGGACCAAGAGATGGGGAGTCTCTCGGGGGTATCGAATGGACCGGGGAGAGGTTTCGTGCAGCTCTTTGCAATTTGGTACTCTGCCAGCTTGGTTCCAGTTGTCGTCTCATTCAGGCCGCGTCCAAACGTTCGATGAAAGATGGGCCCAGTCATACCATCGCCAATGGTATGGGAGAAGGAAAAGACGGCAAAGAATTGATTTTCTGCCTCGAGGGGTTGGATGATAACTCTCCAGGGAGGGCATCCTTTGGTGAAGGGACGGTCAACATCAGCCTCGAGCGTCTCTTGTATGAGAGTCAGATCATCCGTGTCCTTTTCCGAGGGACTAAGAATGGTAAGATGGTTCTTGAAGTCTAATGTCGGAACCCGCTCGAAGAATGCCTTCTCTGTATGTTCGTCGCCAACGACGACACATAGCCAAGGTTCCTGCTGTACGCACTGCGAGAGGGCTGGGTAAAACGTCTCAGGAGCTGCGATGTTGAGTTTTCCCTTCAATTCATACACTGCTCCAACGATGACCGCGTAATAGTGGCCTAGATCCTCGCGAGTGATGGTACGCTGTTCATTGGGGCCTGTGAGAGTGAATCGAGTTAGCTACAGGGCTTGTTGCCCACAAAAGTACATGTACTGCTTACTGGCCCGGCGATGATGAATGTTCTTGGCAACCGTCATTGCGGCGAAGTTCAGCGCTCTTATCGACTTGCGACAGAATGTAGGTTATAATATGAAAGAAGGAATCTAAGTTGTTGTATCCCCCATTGGAGCAAATGGAGATTGAGCCTAGGTTATATATGTGCGGCGTATAAAAAAAGGACTTTTCAGCCATGCCGACAGAGCGAACCATGAAACCGAGAGACGCCCCTTTTGGCACAGTTTGAGGTGGAGCCTCCATCTGAATTAACTGGATTGGGAATTATGTCACCGGTCTGGTATTACCGGAAGTCCGGTATAATGAGATAAGCGTCCAAGCAATAAGCACAGGTACGCTCTTGACGCCACAAATCAAGGCCTCCAGCCATCTTTAAAGCCCCATTGCATGTGATCTGTCTCATGGAATATAGCTCGCGAAAGGTACCCGGCAGTTGATCCTTGTCGGCCAACTGTGTGTCTAGGTACTTGTAAGTGACAAAGCATGCAGCACACGTAATGTTAGCCATAGACACTGGTCTGATCCCAGACATGTAGAATAAGGGAAATGGTCTCACGAGCGCAAGAACATCCTGGAATTCGATGACTTCACATCCCCATATCATTTAGTCACTCCATGACCGATGACTTTCTCCGCTATGATGGTAGATGAAAAAACATGTGTGAAGCTGCCACCACTGGTTAGTATCCGTACGGCTCCGCTTCGCCAGAAAGAGAAGAATCCGGATCCGAGGCCAGAAGCAGTCTAGCTGCAGTCCACTTTCTGGATGCTCGAGCCTGTGAGCACCTCGCCTCACATCATGTATGTAAGTGTAGTTGATATTTACGGATTTTATAAATAAAAAAACTCTACTGTCCCTCTAGTATAAAATGGGCATGAATTCCTTCAGTTTTGTTTCTAGTTCATCCTTCTTATCCATTCCTCAAGCCTTCTAAGAACTTCTTCTTTACTATATCAACAATACCTCAACGCCCGTACACATATTTACAATGAAGGTCGCTCTTGCAGGTGCTACTGGCAATCTTGGCCGCCCAATCCTCAAGGTTCTCCTCGATGCTGGTCTCCTTGTGACGGTCCTATCTCGAGCTACCGGAAATTCACCTCCGCCAGCCACTCACCCCAATCTTGTCGTCAAGAAGGTCGACTTTGACTCGGTCCCAGACCTGAAGCAAGCTCTTGAAGGTGTCGAAGTTGTGGTTTCCTGCCTTGCTACGACCGCCATTGGGAGCCAAAACCCTCTCATAGACGCTGCCGAAGCCGTGGGTGTGAAGCGCTTCATCCCTGCCGAGTTCGGGATGGACCCTCTCAACCCGCTGTGTGCCCAACTGCCAGTCTGCAAACCAAAAGTCAGCACGCAGGCGTACCTTCTTGAGAAATACAAGTCCAATACCAATTTCACCTGGACTGGTGTTGCCAACGGTCTTTTCCTTGACTGGGGAATGGAGGTTGGGTTTATCATTGACCCGGCCAAACGCACCGCGACGCTCTACAACGGCGGCGACGTGCCGTTCAGCGTGACGCTCCTTGACGACATAGCCAAGGCGGTTCTTGGTATCATCAGAAACCAAGCAAAGACGGTCAATCGAGTCGTGTACATCCACTCCACGGTAACGACTCAGAACATGCTGATCCAGTATGCGAAAGAAAAAGATGGTAGAGAGTGGACTACCGCTGTCAAGTCCACTGCTCAGGTCCTAGAGGAGAGTTTGGCTGAGATGGACAGGGCTGCGCAGGGAACTGGGGATCTTGCTACTGCCATGCTCGGGTTTTCTGTTTGTGGGATGTGGGATCCCGCGTACGGCTGCGACTTTTCTGATCGTCTTGATAATGAAGTCTTGGGAATCCAGGAGCTAAGCGAATCTGACCTGAAGAAGCTGGTCCAGAGCTTTGTGGTGGAGTGAGAAGCTAGTTACTCGCAGATATACAGGTGATGGGGTCCCGTTGATTTCTACCAACTTGTAGCTCTGTTCAACCCAGGATCCAGAATTGATTGATGAAAATTTTTCTTGGCAAGAGAAACCTCCATGGAACTTTGTGGTAGCTGCTGAAGTGCGCTGTTCAACGTAGCCCGTAGATTCGCATATGCTGACTCGCTGAGGTCACCCCGAAGACGCTTGTGGCTGATGGCTATATCCAGTAATCGCACAGACGCAAGGATGTAGTGTGGGTAGGGATCGATGGCGATGAGTGATGCTTTGGTTGTGGTACTGGTTTGCTCGGACGACACCTGAAAGACATCAAGTTCTTTCTCCGGACAAGATATGCAGTATTGGTTCTCAAGACCAAATTTGAGAGTATTGAACAACTCTCTCTCTGCACTCATTCCGTAATCAGAGTACTGCTCCAGCAAGTCCACGCGAGCTGCAGTGTCCAAGGCATCGACGATGATCAGGATGCCCAAGTAGTAATGCAGCACAGCCCCAAACCAGGCCAGCCTAGTTTCTTGACTCAGGTATTGAAGCCATTTCTCGCAGTTGCTGAGAGTAGGTTGGATCGTATGTTTGAAAGTCTTAAGTCCATCAAGCACCGCGCCGGACCCGTGCTGTACGCTGTCCTCGTCCACGCCTTCGATGAGTGCTTCTTTCAATGATGCAATCGTTCGCCAAACATATAGGCGGCATACACCAGTGGCAGATACAATCCGTTTAGCGATGTCCTCGGTAATTTCAAAGTCTTCCTTTCTCCATTTCTCTGAATCGGGTTGGAATGAGTCGCGAAGGAAGCCTCGCGCCAGAATCCATGCGGGTTCGCGGCATGCTCCTCGTATCCCCGTACTCAAACTCGACCGCACATTGCAGATGAGGGAATGTTCCGTGTCCCAGGCCACGGCTGCCCAGAACACCCGATTTTCCAACTCAATATACGTGGATGTAAGTGTGAGATGCCGGGTGTTAGGCTGTGGCCCAGTGACAAAGCGCTCTGCTGAGCTATCGAATGCGCGGCTTCGTAGCCTTGACCGGAGTTGTTGGATATTCTTGAGCGCTGCGTGGATGCACATCATCCCGCTCAAGCCGTCGAGTCGCTCGTCTTCAGATATCCCGATGGGAATTGGAGTCTGGCCAAACAAGTACAGCGCAAAGATGGACTGGTACGATATTTGGTTGATGGCCTTGAGCATATGTCGTCTTGTAGCTCGCCAGCTGGTTCGGAATAGTTCTGACCACTGCTCACCATCGCCCGTCGTAGAGTTAATATCAAGTATGGTGGGGAGCCAACAGACAGCAAATGACCGGATAGACAGGCGTAGAGACTCAGATGCCTGCTCTGTCTGCAGCTTTCTACGACTGGTTATACCATGGTCGCTTGAATCCGAGTTTTCATTGCTGAACTGCTCTTCTAGAAGATAGTCAAGATCGTAGAAAATGGTGGTCAGATTATCCCCATTGTCTGATAGGTTGTTACTAAAAGCGTCATATATTAGCAATCATCGATGTTTCCGGGATCTCGTGGTGTAGGCACTGCAATACATACACCAGCGGACATCCATAGTTTCCTACTAGCCGCTCGAAAACAGTGCCAAACCCTTGACGGAAAAATTGTTCACACCAGTGATCAATCTGCATGTCCGTCATGCCAGGTGATGGCCAACAGTTTCCCATTTGGCGTTCGCGGTGAAGCACAGGTGGCCCCGTGGATAGCGACTGCGAACATTCCACGGGCTGTTCCCAGGTAACGAAAGAGTCAGCTGTGATCATGGGGGTAGGTGCCTTGGAGTTCCGACGAAGCCGTTGAGTTTTGGTGCTCGTTTTCTGCAGCCACTTGAGTCTATAGAGTCAGAAAGCTGCCAACAGGGAGAGACATGAGTCGTCAAACCTCGAATGTGCATGTTTGGTTTCTCGATGAGCATCGGGAACAGGAGCCTTCCCATCGTCTATCCCCTGGTTGATAGCCCCTCTGCGAAGCATTGCAGCCAACTCTTGCTGTGCGACATGCATCGCAACTCGAGAACTGGGTTCGCCGCTGATTTGAGTCACTGTTCATATTGAGTTGCCTAGAGCTTATGCGATAGTGATTTTTGATGATTGATCGAGGACTAAGTTTTCGTAACCCCGGAGATATCAAGGGCAAGAAGACATTGTGAATTAGTAAGCGTCTAGCTCTATCCCGAGCCACCCAAACCCTGGTGTAAGCATTAATGCGTCTAAGGAAAGAAGAGCGAAAGTAATGTTGGTTTAAACGAGTTAGAGACGACCGTAAGAATGAGAGTCTAGGAGATAAGTGTACATATATGTTTTTAAAACTGCACTCCAATATGCTAGACATAATGCTAGTACATATTAGACCCCAGACAGAAACTAATAGATACCTGTTGGTAGTTTGCAACATCCTTTTTAATGGAGACTGAGGCCATTTGGCATATATCTTCTAAGTCTTGTGTCCGTCTACAGTTTAGACTGTTGGTCTTCATGCTTCCTCCTCTCTCTCAGCTCCTTTCTCAAAATCTTCCCGGAAGCACTGCGAGGAACCGCGTCCACGAAGCGCACACCCCCTCTCAGGCGCTTGTAATCCATAACTTGGTTCTTGACAAAGTCCATGATGTCTTCTTCACTGATCTTGCCCTTGGCGGCCGGGGCCAGCACGACGTAGGCTCGGGGAACTTCCGTGTGGTTTTGCGGCACACCGATAACCGCAGCATCCAAAACAGCTGGGTGTGAAGCAATTTTCCCCTCAAGCTCGGCCGGTGCTACCTGGAATCCTTTATATTTAATCATTTCCTGAACTGGTTAGTATATCAGTGTCCCCTTTATCAATATACGCAAACATACCTTCTTCCTGTCAACGACAAAAAGCTCATCACCTCTCATACAGAGGATATCTCCAGTACGCAGCCAGCCGTCGGCGGTAAAGGTCGCCTTGTTGGCTTCCGGGTTGCGGTGATACCCTTGCACAACGGTTGGTGCCTTGACAAGTGCTTCGCCTGGTTGTCCCTCCGGAACGTCCTTTTCTTCCTCATCAACGAGCCTGGTATTTTGTTAGCACCCGGATTAGCTGAATAGCAATACCATTTCTAACCTTAATTTGGTGTTTGGCAGCAAACGGCCGACGCTTCCGGTTGTATTTGATTTCGTCGGGGTGCTCCAAGTTACACTGGCACTTGTCTCTGTCATGCCCCAGGTTTGCGAAAATAAGCCATCCAACTTCATTCGGCTCTTGGCAGCGTCCTGGAGTTCCTTGGACATGGGAGCTGCTCCGCTGCACACAAGTACTAGATCGGAAAATTGATCTTTGACGGCGGGGTGCTTGGAGATCGCCAGGAAGACGGGCGGCACAGAGAAGATGCTGGTGATCTTGAGCTCGCCAAAGTATCGAAGGAAGTCATCAAAGTTGAACGTGGGCATCCAGTAGGTCACGCCCCCTTCGTAGATAGGGTTGACGAAATAACAAACCAGTGCGGCAGCATGCGCTGTGGGTAAATGGGCCAGTGTTCGAAATTGGACCTTTGCTTTCTCGAAAAGTATTCTTCCGGCGGAAGAGAGCATGGAACCTTCGGCAACCAGATTGGTGTGAGATAAGACCACGCCTGCGTTATTGTCAGCCCAACAACTCTGTATCACAGGAAGGGAGCCTGCTTGCCTTTGGGCAATCCCGTGGTGCCGGACGAGTAATAAATGCAAATCTTGCTCTCCGCAAGTTCCTTGGGATCTGTAATCTTCCTCCACTGGAGCTGCTTCCTGAAATCGCAAGCCACTTCCCCATTGACGCTTTCGAGTTTAATGTCGGGATAACTCGTCAGCACGAGCACATTCCTCTGCGGGAGTCCTACGCGGGCTGCTGCAGCGACTGCTAGATCCTTGGCGTCGCTGCTGCAGACAATGACCTTGCCTGGGCCATCCTTGATCTGACGCACTGCATCGTCGACTGTGCTTGAGTGAGAAACGGGAGCGTAGATGCCTTCGGCTGCTATCACGCCATAGAGAAGAGCGGCAAGCGCAGACTGTCCTGTAGATATGGGAACGACGACGTCTTTGTTTGGTCCGGCCGCACCAATTGCGTACTCTGTCCTGAGGAAATGCGCAAAGCAGCCAGTCAACTTTCGCAGCTGAGCCTTGGTGATGTATCTCTGCGGATCTCTCGCTTCAGCGTGCAGTGGTGTATCATCGGACGCGCGTCCGTTTGGGTCGTCTGTGCTCTGTTAGTTGCCATACGTTTTGCTACTTCAGTTGCCTTTCATTGTTATTACCGAATAAAAACGTCAGAACATCGACAGTTGGGACGTCTAGTTTTGGCCCTTCGTAAATCATGGTGTGTGTGGGAAGGGCGATCTCTCTAAAGCTTAAATTGTGATGACTCGGAACAACACGACCCGGCCTGAATTGGCAGCTCTGCTTGCTTATGTAGGTGTTCTATTGCTGGGACAACTTCCCAATCTACAATTTACCCCGCAGAGATATCCCTGTGGTATTGGATTTGATGCTACGATCCTTTACCAAACTGGGCCGTTATCTGACCACCATAATCCTGGTCGCATGAGACACCCATTGGATTTCATGGTCGTGGCTTTCCTGTTTTTGGCTATAATATGCAGTTGGTAAAAGGATGACTGTCATACCACTTGTGCCATGACTAGGCATATGTTTTTGGGCCAAGTATACCTACGCTGAGATACCATAGACACCAGTTTCGTAACAGATGAAGACCCTCGGTAGAACGGAGCAATATGATGAATCTGTCAGCACTTGCTAGGATCGTTGTTTCATTCCCGGCCGCTCATTCCGGGGACACGTTGGTAGAGTAACGTCGGAATTAACGGCATTGGGTTATGCATTGATAAAAAATTAGATCGTCGTTGATCCTTTGCGCTACCCTTGGCTGACCTTTCAACAGCTAATCTCTTTTAATTGCAAGCTCGAGCTTTTTACTCATTCCAGTGATGAATACCGAAGTTATAAGAATGATATCGCAGGCGATCTAGATAACTCACTTTGTGGTTCCAAGATCTACTCTATTAATTGGCATTCATGTCATTGCAAGCTTTGGTTTGCGTGGATATATGAACTTGGTATATAGTGCACGGCGGGAAATTACGCTACTATCTTTCTATACTTGACTCTATGATCTTCCAAATTGATGTTCCAGGAGAACATTTAAGAATCGGAATCGACGAAATGGTCCAATTGCCTTGCGTGATTGATAAACTTCCATCGCTTCTCGAATGATTCTCCGCATTTAGGACATATGGTAGGGGCATCATCATCTTGCGCCTGGGAAGCTTCCTTCTTCGTTTCGCTAGAGCTTTCGCCGGGAGTCTTCTCTTGTTCTGTTTCCCCCTCATCCGCTCCCTGCTTCGCCATCTCACCAAGAAGCTTCTCTGCAAGCTCCTTTATGATATGTGGCTTTTCATAGGAAGGATCAAGGCGCAGTGCACGTTCACAATCATTGATGGCGAGCTGGAATTCGCCAAGCTTGATGTAGGTTTGTGCTCGGTTTAGAGCAACCCGCGCGTTGTTGGTTTTATCGCTCGGCCATATAACCAATGCATCCGAGTAGACCTCCAACGCCTTGGTAAACTGGCCTTTTTTGTATGCTTCATTACCGATTGTTTTCACGCGGATAATCTCCTTTGCGTAGTACTCTGATACTGGACTTACGTCGAGGGAATCACTATTGATATCAGAAGTGGGTTGAGTCGGTTTTTCGTCGACTGGTACAGACTCTCCGGTATCTTCGGTGTCCATAGATTGATCAGGGCCTTCGCTGGTAGCCGTTGGTTGAGTTGAGTTTCCATCGGCATCCGCAGGTTTCATCGCTTTGGTGACTCGGATGCGAGCGTCTAAATGGTGCGCCTCGGAATCATTGTAGTCTTTCCCTAGAAGGTCACGTAGAATCTCCTCGGCCTCGACAAGACATGCCAACGCCCCATCGCGTTGCCAGATGTAGATATTGGCTTCGGCCAGCAACAGCTTCCATTCCCTTGGAGTAGAGGCGAGGGTGCCAAGCTCAACCTTGGCCTGTTGGACAAATGAGAGTACCGAAGAGTAGTTCTTGTGGACTTCCAAGGCCTCGTGAGCTGATTTGATGGAGTTCGCCATATGGTTGGCCCGATTCACGTCCTTCTCCCTGACATGATCTGGGATTTTCTCATATTGGGCTAAAGCCTCCTCAGGCCTTCCAAGACGCGTGTATATTCGACCTAATCTCAAACGCAGTTTTGGAGCTGGTGTTTCGAGATTCATAGCTTTCAGGCAGTCTGCAAGGGCCTCCTCCCAGCGAAAGTGAGCCATGTAGGCAGCCGCACGATTGCCCAGGTAAACAGCAGATGATGGAATCATTTCAATGGCTGTAGATAACTCCACGATCAGAACCATGGACGGGGTCGACTGAGATATTGTAAAACGTACCTTTTGTGTACTGCTCGATGGCCAAGTCGTACTTCTCCTCTTTGAAGAGTTGATTGCCAGAATCCTTATGAGCCTCCGCAGCTTTAGCTAATGGAGTCTGGCTGTTGCCAAGGTCTGCTGATGGTTCATCAGGTCGAGTGTTGGAAGAGGGTTGCGTTTTCTGTGGGGTGGTTTGCTCGCGTTTAGGCTGTGCTCCAAAACCATCAGGCCAAACATTCGAGGGATCTTCTGTGTCTACCATTGTTTCAGACCCTTCTGTCGGGTTTTGGCTTTGGCTACCGGCACTGGGATTCAGTGACATATCCATCCACGGGTGGTCCAAGGCTCCCAAGGCTGTTAAACGCTTGGCGGGCTCGATCCTCGTAAGACTCTTGACAAAGTCCGTCACGTCATCAGTCGCTCCTACTTCCCTTAAGAGCTTCTCCGGGAATTTGATATCCCCAAAATAGTACCGACCCAGGTCCAGCTGAGTAGGGAACAGGACCTGGCCCGTCAAGAGTCTGCTCACAACCTGTCCCAAACCCCACATGTCCACGGCGTATGGGTCAACCTTGCTGTCGAGATCCTTGAATCCACTGATTTCAGGTGACATGTAGCCTCGAGAGCCCGCGCTGAAGTTTGTGGTGCTATCGTTGCCGCCTCTTTTGCTCAGTCCAAAGTCAGCCACCTTTACCCACCACCTCGGACCCGTTCTTTTGATCAGAATATTCTATAGAGCATAAATGGTTAGTATTAGCGTTGGTAGTGATCACAAGGTGCCGTACCGCAAGCTTCAAGTCTCTATGGCAGAAATTCTCCTCGTGCATCGTCGCAAGCGCCTCTAATACTTGATATACAATCTCCCGAGTGTCCAGTTCAGGTAAGCGGTTCTCAGGACACAGCAGACTATTTCGTAGGTACTTGTTCAAGTCGCCAAGTTCGCAATACTCCATCGCAATGTTGATGTATCCAGGGCTGAGATACCACCCGTACGATGTGACGAATAATTTTGAGAACTGCGTTGAGGATCGATACTTGTGAGCTTAACTCTACGTAGCGGCAATAGTGACACAAACCTTTGCCTGTGAGAACTTGGCAATAGTCTCGAGTTCTCTCTGGTACATCTTGGATCTTGCAACCTTGTGCAAATCAGGGATTTCGATTCTCTTCACTGCCCGTATTGAGGGCCCCCCAAACTCTTCAACAACTCTGGTCTGCAAATCCACCGACCCTTGGCCCCCCGACCTCAGGTGTCGCTTGACGAGCCATTTTTCCTCCGCAGAGCGACGTCTTGCCGTATGCGTGTGGATGACAAAGCTGCTGCCGCCTTCTTGCACAAACTGCACTTTCAGCTCCGAGTCTCGGACGAGTTCGGGGAGAATGTCAAGCGGAACGGTAGGCGTTGCCATCGGATAAAGTCTGCGATAACTTGATGTGTCACTATTGGCGGTTCGTTTATTGCTGGTGATGGGATCCTCATGGGTGTTGAGGTCCCCGCACGCCGCGCGAAATATGCTGATACGGGGTCCAATCTGTGCTGACGGCGAGGGGCAGGGCGGTGCCCTTTATAACTGAAGCTGGATGAATCGAGACTCGTCTGGATTCAGCCCACACTAACCGCATTGAAATCGATAAATAGGTCCAGCTGAGCTTACTAACACGTGAGCGGTTGTGCTGTGAGTGCATAAAGAGCTGAAAGAACCTTGCCGATTTAGCCGCCGTCGACGAGTACTTGTTCAGCCGGTAAGAAATATCGATACATCGCTTTATTGGATAAAATCCCACCGAATGAAACAAGAGAGTTTCCGGAATTGGACGGTAGGTACCAGCTAGACAAATCGGCTCAGACATACGTTAGTGATGAGCGTCTTGAAAGTTTAAATAGAGGTTTGATAAAAGCGGTTTGGAATCATAAGGTTAAAACCTTTGATTCGTTGAGTTAGATAGGATTTAAAAAGGCAGGCTCAGCGAGAAGGTTCAGATTCATGCGTGGACTGAGGAAATATCCAATAAGCACTACAGGGACACGTTGTTAACTTTCAATTCAAGCGCTACCTAGAATTTCAATTTAGAGCGTTGATTTTAGAGTATAACAACTGTCACAGACCTGAATGTAGATGAGTGGACTGACATAGTCAAGGAGACAAAAGAGAGCGACATGGTTAAATTACACGGCCCAGCGCAGTTAGTAATTCGCTGTATGTACGATATCGATGAATCCCTGAGTTCCTTTAGAGATTGAATATCAAGAATCTCTCTTATGGAATGTTTTCTTGCAGGGACGCACGTGGTTTTCCTTATTGACCAATAGCAGCGATATAAAGAGGTTTTGGATTCTTGAAATATTGAAATTTGCTGGGCATGGAAACAAACTAGAATTTCCGCAAGTTAAAACAACGTTATTTGCCCCCCGGTACGGAGTTGATATACACTGCATTCGACGAAGATTCCAGCGAGGCCATTTCTTATTACTGGGAATACATATGAGGATCCTACTCTTTGATAATCTAAACTACCTTGCAGCTTTTCTATTGGCACCTTGGGAAGTTGGATTACTGGGCGTTTGTCTGTTCTAATCTTGGTTTTCAAGCCAAGAATGTCATGAGAGAGAGCTGACTTTCGGAGGCAGATATCTAGCTTGACTGGTTCACGTCGCGTATGGCGCATCGCATTAATTTCCAGGGGAGCTAATTAACGCTTTTTAGCCTATAAATAGAACAGGTGACGACCGTGCAACTGTTGCCTTGCGCTTAGGAATCCTTCGATGCTGGAATCTGACTTCCCGTTAACAGCCTAATAAATATGTCTCGCACATCAAGAGCCAGAGCCTCCAGGAGCCAGCCAGGGCCTATGGCCTGCGCGCATGATGTTTTATACAATTCCATCTCTGCTCATGCTCGCAGCTTGTCATACTATGCCTGTCCTTCCCCTTTAGCCGCTGTCTCTGCAGCCTCTCGTACAAGAAAGCCGCCGGATGGCTGGGACTCATCGATCCCGCCGACACCACGGTCGAGCTTTCCGAGTGCCAACGTTCTTCCTCAAGATCATCTCGATCAATTCCCGAAAGAGCCCGGAGATGACCTTTTTGAATTCATCACAAACGGAGGCCGTAACCAAGTTACTCCTAGGAGGAAATGCCTCTATATAGTTGATGCACCGGATATCGATCCTGATATTGCTGGATTCATGACGGGTTGGACAGACCCAGTAGTACCGGCTGGATCTGATAATCTGCTCTTGACTTCGACCATCAATTCCCCTCGTGTCGAGGACACAGCCGGCTATCTCGCAGCCTTTTATACGGGCCTGGATGTCAAGATTCTCAAAAGCCATTTCCGTTTCAAGAAATGGGGTGAGAAACAACAGGGCGTGAGCAACCGTGGGAACATTGCTCTCATGGCACCAAACGGAGCTGCCACGCGTGTGCGCTTCCGGCCAGCCCCGGATGGCGCAACGGCTGGCCAGCTCAATCTCAATGACATGCTTGATGCTCTGCATGCATCCATACCAACCGATGCATTTGCTATCATCCTTGTGACGGACCACGACTTATACGAGGATGAGGAGGACGACTTTTGCGCCGGGCGCGCCTATGGAGGCTCGCGCATCTGCATCGTCTCAATGTTTCGGTACAATCCAGTCCTGGACTCCCACGCTGGAACCAGCTACGCTCACAGCTGGCCAGCATCACATTGCAGAGACTATGTCGATGAATGCTGGGAGGCTAGCGAGCCAGCTCTTAAGGAGACAGACTACGGGCGGGACAGGAAGAAGAAAAGACGCGCCCGGCCCGACCCTAGTTGCACTGCGGACCTTAAACAAGATAATACTTCTCCCCTAGCAAGGGCGGTCTTGTCTGCACGAGAGGTCCTGGTACCTGGTTGCCAAGAGGACTGGGAAGGGTTATGGCTTGCCCGGGTGTGCCGTACGGCCAGCCATGAGCTTGGTCATTGTGTTGGGATAGGCCACTGTATTTACTACTCTTGCGTTATGCAAGGTTCGGCGAGCATCGCTGAAGATTACAGACAGCCGCCGTATCTCTGCCCCGTGTGTCTGAGAAAGGTGGCTTATTCCCTAGCAGGCGAGGGCATCATGAAGTCTCCGGGATTAGGACGCCTAGAGAGAAGCGGTGCAGCCGAAAAGCGCTGGATAGCGCAGAGCTACCGTAACATGAGCTCATACTGCCTGGGACGGAAAGGGATAGGGATGTTTGGTGGATTACATGGCTGGCTGGAAGGACGGCTACGAGAGATTGACGTGGCCGCACATGATGACTCTGTTCCCCAAAGGCGGGAGGGAGATGAAGACGACGATTCATCGGTAATATTCATGGGGTCAATTGAGAGAACGTAACCGGGTTTAGTGGTAGCTGTTCTGAGACCAAGCCGTAGCGGTATTCAATATTGTGCTATGCCATTTCTTAGTCAACGCGATGTGAGTAATTTAATTCTAATTCACCTACTGTTACTCAGTGACTGGGCTAGAGGATAGCGTTGTTAAGAATAGGGCACTTAGTGATTTAGCTATGTGTGTTTGTTGCCTAACTGGCTCGATGATAAAGGCCATTTAGGCTGAGATATAACGTATGCTTAAATCTAGACGCTGAACAGGCTTCGAACCGTTTCCCACAAACTTTCAAGTATCTTTTCATGAATGCATGGCTAGAGGAATGAAGCCATGAGGCAGAGACTAGCTCACACATTCACGCAATGATTTGGCCGCACAATGCTTCCTAATCAGGAAATCAGCACGCATGGCCGACGTAGCAGGTAGTTTGGCTAATTTTGATCAAGCCCGTTGGTTAGCGAAGATCATTGCCCCTCCGACTCTCAGCTGAGCCAGCCGAGCCGCTAAACTTAGGTTTCTCCAACTCTAAAAGATTGTGGATGGACGCCATGAAGAGAGTTGCCGTAGCAGTGCCACTATGACGTGTAGGAGTTATTCTGTCCAAGCTAAAGCTATCGAAAGGGCATGATGTGGCGGAGCTTGTCAAGTCTGTGGATAGCCTGCCGTTGCCTCAAACCCCAGAAGGATCTAGGAACGAGAGGCTGTTTGCTGATCGATGTATGGTCTTGGCCTACGCCGAACAACGCCTAAAACTTAGCACGGTCCACCTTTGTCGTCATTGAGCTTATGCTTATTATATCGTAGGCTGTGTGTAGCCGAGGGAGAATCCCCAGAAGAGTCAATTCTCGGCCATTGTTCTGTCTAAGAGCGTGACGAGCCACCTTGGTTGCAGATCGCCACAAGCAAGAATCGTGGCCACCTCAGGACCATCACGTATATATTAGACGAGCCGTCCTGGCACATGCCCAAGACATTCCATATCACCACAACATCATCCAGACTTTTCCCACTAATCAGCATGTTATTCACCGCAGCTGTTGCCTGCGCCTTGGCCGCTGGCTCCTCTGCCTTCATTACCGGCACAGATGACATTCCCTTAATTGGACCATCCTTCCTCTCTAATGTCGACCTGTCCAGCTCTCAACATCTCCAAGATGCGAAATCTGAATTCTCCAACCGAATTGAGGAGCTATTCTCCAGCGGTGAGCTGAACCGTACCGACTTGGTGTTTGCTGTAGACATCTTCTCTGCCAATACAAATGGTTCAATCCACGATTATTTCCATGTTGGGGAAGGCCAAGAAGAGGTGTTGACCTCGGGTCGACTTGATTTTAATACTATCGGCCGTTTGGGCAGTGTATCTAAACTCTTCACTGCTTACGCACTTGTTGCAGAGGCCGGTATCGAAGTCTTCAGTCACCCTGTCACAAGGTACTTTCCTGAGTTGGGCGGCAATTCTTCGAGCGTGCCTCTCAATCGAATCAACTGGGATGAGATCACAGTCGGAGCCCTTGCCTCACACCAAGCCGGCACTGGAGGAGTTGGCGGTAAGTCCAAACATCCCATTTTATCAATATTGACTCATTGGTACTAACAATGACATTAAGACTTCTTCCTGAAAAATGCCCAGACACCAGAGAAGATGACGACCGAAGGTAAGCAAAACCTTGAAGGAGGTAGAAGAATCATGCTGACTCTATCTTCCAACCAAAGCGTTTGTTTCGTTTTTACGCGATGAAAAGCGACCAGTCATACCCGCCTACCGAAATGCCCTTTACTCAGACGCTGGATACTCACTTCTGGGTCACGTCCTCGCACGCGTCACTGGACAGAGTTATCCGGATTCAATGCAAAAGATCCTTTTTGGTCCCCTTGGCTTGAACAGCACTACAGCAAAGCCACCTACCGGACCGGATCTAAATGCCATCAATCGTTACCTGGTGGACAACACATCCAGCTGGAACATTGATATCCAAGTTACTGCCCCGTATGTTCTCGCTCACCTTCTCCCAGATGGTTATTTTGATACTAATTTGCATCAAGATCTGGCGGTATTTTTTCCAGTCTCGCAGACATGCGCAAAGTCGGTCTCTCGATCCTCAATTCAGAGCTCGTCACTCCTGCTACAACTCGAGCCTGGATGAAGCCATTAAGCGGCACTGGAAGCTTGGTAGAACTTGTCGGTGCACCTTGGGAGATCAACCGCCTCACCATCCCAGCCACACCATGCTCTAACCGCACCCGTGTCTCCGACCTCTACACCAAAGCCGGTGGCAACGGTGATTATACAGCTGTTTTGGGTCTTTCACCTGACCACGGTATGGGATTCTCCATTCTTGTTGCTGGCAAAACTGCGAGCAGTGCGCGTTGGCCGATCCGCCAGGTCATTGGCGAGATTTTTGTCCCTGCCGCTGAGCGTGCGGCTGCTATAAATGCTCAAGAAAATCTCACTGGAACTTTTATCGATGAGAACTCTGAGAACACAAACATCACCCTCTCTTTTGAGGATGGTAAGCCCGGGCTTGGGCTTGACTCTTTTTATATGGAGGGGCAGGACTCTCGCTACCTTCTTCAGGGGGCAGCCAAGCCTTCCGATGTGATCATGCGCGTCTATCCTACAGGTCCTAGTTTCACATCCTCCTCGCTCGCGGAGCTTTACCGCACCAAGGGGACCCTGCGTGTGTCACATCGATTCGTTGCCCAGCGTCCCCCGGCTCCTCACCGCGCCTCGGCAGTGGGAGGCGAGGGTTTGTATGAGAACTACTTCGAGTGGATGAATATTGGTTTCAATGGTCCCTTGGATGAGCTGGTATTCGAGATTGAAGATGGGAAGCTTGTTAGTGTGACTATTGCGGGCGCGGAACTGGCATCGGGCAAGGAACTGATATTGAAGCGGGTGGATTGAAGGAGTACATGGCCAAGCAAGGGGCACAGGCAGAATTGTATGAGTACACTATAGATTTTTTTTCTGTCAGCTTGTCTATATTAAACTTTCTGAAGAAATAGACATTGAACTCAAGCGCTAAACTTGAACCTGTGATTCTTCTTGAAGTAGCACGTCACGGCGGTGAGAAAGCCTTCCGAAAAGAGTATCAACGGGCTTCTCTACATAGAAGTCACCTTAGTCTTGTGCATTAAGCTTTCCTTGCCCTTAGACTTAGTGTTTTTAGAACGCAGTAAATTATACTCGCAGGTCTTTGGGGCAACATCACTCTACATTACTTTGTCACAGAGACAGGCATTGGAAAAACACCAAGGCTGGCTTAGTGATGGCAAGAGCTCCAGTGCTATCAAAAATTAATAGTAATTACTAGGTTCTCTTTGAAGATAGTGGGAGTATATATTGAATAAAAATCGAAGTCTTCTATATAGAATAATTACAATACATGCCTCCTAAGAGGGGAAGCTTGTTATCCATCAATAAAACAACCACTTTTCCAAGCTCGTCAATTAGTCGATTGCGTTTCTTCTTCAACCAAGATCGTCTCTCATCACCAACAACCACTACAATAAGAGACGATTTTGATTGAAGAAGAAACGCGATCGTTTGATTGACGAGCTTGGAAAAGTGTTTACCTTGTTGATGGATTACAAGCTTCCCTTCTTAGGGCTATGGCCGGTTTATATATCTGGCTGTGTAAATGACTCCTATTGTTAGAGTTTTTGAGGTGTTGATACCTGTGCCTAGGCTGTGAGTAAGGTATAATATTTTTATTTTTTTCTGTGGAAGGTCTGGGTATAGACCGTAACTGTGTATGAAACCCTAAATATTTGACTCATCACGTGTTATGCCTGATCTTGGTATAATGTGACCTTGTTTACAGCCGGAAAAAAAAAAAACAAAAGACATGCTCAATACGTCTAGCATAGGTAGTCGTTTTACTTCCCTCCTCACTAGGCAAGTTACATGTGCCGTGGATAGGCGATCGTCATATCCGAGAGCAGGGTTCGGATCAATTCAACGACCTCCTTTGCCAAGGTATAAATAATAATTCGACGAGGAGTTATCAATATTGATAATGTCGACATTCTTTGATAGATTGCAGGGTAGGTTTTAAATAGCCCGAGCGCTGGGGATCTATCAGAGGCCAGTGCCTATGAGGAGGTTGGGCAAAGGTACGAACGAAGGAGACAAGGAGACGACAGACTATCATTTTCTTGTGCCGTGCTGCTCTTCACCTCCAGCCTCTTAGTCTGGGGGAGGGGCGTGTGAGTTGCAGGATGCTTAACGTGGCTCTAACGTTGCTCTCGGCCTTGTCGTAGGTTGAGATGCCCTCCAGCACCTTGGCCACCTCCGTGTGGCCGTGCTCTGATGCTAAGTACAATGGCGTCCGACCGTCTTTCGTATTTGCCGTCGGAACGATCTACCTCGAGCTTCCTTAGCCGGGTTCAACCCTGGAGACATCTTTAGAAACGTAGGGTTGCCAGCTTTAAGCGTACCCGTCTACCTAAACTTACAGTTATCACCCTTGCTTAGCCCCCTATTGGGTCGAGGTGATCATCCTTTATTTGATTCATTCTAGCGAGAGGCGACCTGCAACTATATATACCTGGGTCCTAATAATGCTTCGCGAGCGCTGAAATCCTCACAAGCAAAGGACCAGTGCCGCTTAAAGGTTTCATCCAGGAAAATCTACATATGGAAAGTTTTCCATGAACACCTGTTTCGAGCACCGATATTTGCAGAGCGTGGCAGATTTCCTCTTGGAGAAAATGATCAGTATCTAGCACTATTATGATTTGAATTTGTGTCAGCTCCTCGAGCAAGACCCTATTCAGTCTTAGGTGGCTCTCACCGTTCTTTCTGTTTACATTTCAATAGTATTGAGAGCTGCTTTCTAACCCAAACTTTGCTCCGAGGCCTAGAAAATAACCATGGGGTGTACCTTGTCTACCGGGTTCTTGTGGGTATTGAACTCGTCGGCCACCCCGTGGGAGTTCTCCCCAACTCCCCTACAGATCGCCCGGTGAAAACAGCGCTTATTCTGCTACATGCCTCAGTACTATTTTGATATTTGCAGTATCCTAGTCGGTCAAACACGTAGACATGTGAATGCGGCGGAACTCCCCTTCAACGACTTCGGCGAAGGTATAATACTCACATTGTACTCTCCTTCTTCATTTGACTCTCCTTCTTCATTTGACTCTCCTTCTTCAGTCTTTATACGATATTCCGGGTGGCGATCAATTTCTGCAACCAGTTTCTTCAATAACATACAACGCTCTCATTATCAATCTCGATTTTTGAGAATGCAATCTTCCAAGGTCATTGACCGACGCCAGGGAGGCAGTCTCCTAGAATTGCTCAAACATGCTGCCACCTCATCATCAAAGCTGTATTTTCACACCCGGGAATTCTGCCCCAGGAGTAAACAACCAGAGAGCTGCATGACCTATGCTGAACTCTATGACAAGGCTCGTTCCAAGGCCTTGCAGCTTGCATCCCTAGCGAAATCCTACAGGCAGAACGCACTCGTGCTGCTGCATTTCGAGTCCATCGAACTAAACATCATCTGGTTCTGGGCCTCTCTCATGGCTGGAATCTCCCCCGTCATCTCAACTCCTCTTCCGAACAGCCTGGAACAAAGGGCCAAACATCTCGATCATCTTTCCAAGCTCCTTGAACAGCCGATTGTCTTGGCGACAGAGTTGCTCTTATCCCATATGTCCGGCACAGATGGGCTTGAAGTTACTGCAGTGGAGAAGCTGGGTGCACAGTCTATCGAAGGCATCGAGTTGCCTCAGGAACCAGATGTGCCGTTCTATATGCTAACGTCTGGAAGTTCGGGTAACGCCAAGGCTGTAGAACTGAGCTCTCAGCAGATTATGGCTTCGATACATGGTAAACACAAGGGGCTTGACAGCAGGAGTGATGACATCTTCCTTAATTGGATTGGATTTGACCACGTCGCCAACATTACCGAATGCCACTTGCACGCCATGTACCTGTCTGTTGACCAGCACCACGTCCCCGCGGCCGATGTCATTTCAGACCCCATCCTTTTCCTTAATCTTATACATGCCTACAGGGTCACTGCCAGCTTTGGCCCCAACTTCTTCCTCGCCCGTCTCTGCGAAACCTTGCAGGACAGCAGTGACATACCTAAGGATCTGGACCTGTCCTGCCTCCGAAGAATCAACAGTGGCGGGGACGCCAACTTGACAGAGACGGCGGTGCGTATCGACGCGGCTCTAAAGCCCTTCGGTGCCCCGTCAGACTTGATTATCCCTGGTTTCGGCATGACTGAAACCTGCGCCGGGTCTATCTATTCCACGCTGGGTCGCGCGTATGATGTCAACAAGAATATGGAGTTTGCGACCTTGGGCAAGCCTGTAGAGGGCATCACCATGAGAGTAGTTCGCGAAGACGGCACGACAGCCGATGCAGATGAGCAGGGCACTCTCCAGGTTGCTGGCCCTATTGTGTTCTCCCGCTATCTGAACAACCCCACAGCTACGGCGGACGCCTTTACTGCAGATGGCTATTTCAACACTGGCGACAAGGCTGTCATTGATGGCAATGGTTGCCTCTACCTATCCGGACGAGACAAGGAGATCATCAATATCGACGGCCAGAAATACGCCCCTCATGAGCTGGAGACGGCACTGGAGGAAACGATCCAAGGTGAGAACTCTATTGTACCGTCCTCTACCGTAGTGTTCAGTATCCGACCTCAGAACGCCGCTCGTGAGGAGATTTGCGTCATCTACCAGCCCAGATTTCCGATTGACGATGCCAAGTCGCGTATCAGGATCGCCGACGCCATTACTCAGTGCGTTGGAATCCGTGCCTCTGCTCGTCCTAAGCACATCATCGCTCTGCCGAGCAGCCAGCTCCCCAAGTCCACCCTAGGTAAGCTGTCCCGCGCCAAGCTCCGCAATGCCTTCCTCGAGGGCAAGTATCGCGAGTTTGAGGACCGATACAACAAAGAGATCTTGTCCGAGCGTGAGAGGATTTGTGAGGAGCCTACCAGTAACACTGAGAAGCTCATTCTTAAGGAGGTCAGAACCATGTCAGCCGAAGCCTTTGACGTTCCTGTCGGCGTCAACGCTAGTATCTTTGACCTGGGTATCACCTCCATCGATCTCTTCATTCTCTCTTCCCGGTTGCAGAAGAGGCTGGAAATCAACCAGAAGATTCCGGTCGGGACCTTCTTCACCGACCCTACCATTCGCGGCATTGCTGGCTCTATCGACCAGCTCGGCGTTGGGGGCGAATACGTTCCCATCGTGCCTCTGCAGAAGGAAGGGAACAAGACCCCTCTCTTCTTAGTTCACCCCGGTAGTGGTGATGTCCTGATCTTTGTTGGTTTGTCTAAATACTTCAACGATCGTCCAATCTACGGCATACGCACCAGATGTCTCTATTCTGGGGATGACTACCACAAGACAATCCACCTTATGGCCCAGTGTTACTACGAGAACATCAAAAAGATCCAACCAGAGGGCCCTTACGCCATTGCCGGTTACTCCCTGGGGTTCTCGGTGGCTTTCGAGATTGCCAAGCTTCTCGAGGCCGACGGTAGCAAGGTCCCCTTCCTCGGCATCCTCGACTCGCCGCCTCACATCAAGCACCTGATCCGCGATCAGGATTTCATCGACGTGCTCCTGAACGTCTCTTACTTCCTCGAGCTCATCACCGAGGAGTACGCCATGGTCGAGTCCATCCCCATGCACGAAAAGTCCGAGTCTGAAGCGCTGGATCTTGTGCTCCAGCATGCTCCTCCCCAGCGTCTACGCGACCTCTCAATCGACAAGCCCCCCCTCAAGAAGATCACCGAGGTCACGCTGAGCTTCGGCACCGCCGGTCGCGACTATGACCCGGAGGGCACTGTCGCCAACCTGGACGTGTTCTGGGTACATCCCCTTTTGTGGGTTGCCCCCAATCGCGCTGAATGGATGGATAAACATCTCAAGCATTGGGTGAATTTCTGTCGCTCTGAGCCTCAGTTCCACGAGCTCAAGGGAAGCCATTCAATGATGCTGAATGCTTGCCAGCTTCACGGCACTGCGGTGAATATTCGCTCCGTTATTCGCTCCCGTGGTCTATAAATAAGAGAAACGGTTTGAAATCTCATTTCTAGCACATGAATCTATTCAGCAAGTCTTACATATAAATAATAGAACAATATCTTCTCTACCTAATAAAGCTCTGTCGATCCCCCTAGTGATACATGTATGCAAGCAGTCCCCTTGGGTTGCCTTATTCAGTAATCTTTGATTTCCTTGGTGACGGAGTCAACCGGACTCGCGGATCTTTGGGTCAATATCACCTCACGTTGTATTGAAAGGAAACGAGCACAAGCCAAGTGATGGCAATGGAAAGCCCAACTCTAGTGTTGTCAAATGATTACAATAGTTAGAAGGTCCTCTTTAAAGATGGTCAGAGCATGTATTGATCAAATATCAGGTCTTTCTTAAAGTACAATTCCTGTTTAGACATTGGGTCTCCTTGGGCGTATGTACCTTCTACCTAAGTACATCCTTGATCTTAGTAACGCTTTCCTGATCTCCCACCACCGCAACAGCCCCTTCCAAGGTCGAAAAGCCGTACCGTACACGAGTCTTCCGTAGTTCGAATCCTAAATCTGTGCCCTCCAAGCCTTCCTTTTCTTTGGGCAGTTCCAGGGTGGTTTTCCGCATCAAGGAAGTCGTATAGCCAAGAATCTCTGGTCCAACAGCGAGGTGTGCGAATACAGAACTAGCTATACCTCCAGCCAACAAAATTATAGAGGCTATCATTGAGAATGCAGACCAAACTCGTGATATGCCAAAGACTATTTTTTCTACAACGAGCTCGCCATTGCTGGTAGCCGTGGCGGCATCGCTTGCTTCGAAGCCGCCATCGATATTCTGGACGTTAAGTGCCATGAATCGCATTGGGCGAAGCTGTACGTACGTATTCAGAGCTTGGCTGAGGCGAATCCCGAAATCTGTCGCAGATATGTTTGGTAGTGCAAGCTGTGCGGTGTCAGCCGTGAAAGTCTTGCTCAAGTTCTCCATGGACGGGTCGAATAAATACTGCAACACCGCGTCCTGGCTGCTCATCGTTTCAACTGCGAAATTCAACTTCGGCCCCGTCGATAAGGGCCAGTGAACACTGAGAAAGAGAAAGGAGTATGGCCAATTCAGGATGCTCAAGTTTTCATCGAGCCTATATTTCTGAGACCGTCGCTGCGATATCGCAGTGCAGTTTCGTCTGGCAGACGGCTCGGCTTTTTGACAAATGATTTTCGATTCCACGTATCGCTGCTTCACGCTACAATAGCTGCCAATATGTTCGACAGTTTGTCGAATGGTCGTTCTCACATATGCCTGGAACATCAGCCTCGTTGGGCCGACATCAATGTCAGTTTGGTTTTCGAAATGAACTGGAGTGTCCGCGCTGTTATCCCATTTGGTCCAGTTTGGGCTAATGAAGCGATCAAGGCCTATGCTCCAGGATGTTTGGCGATCACCAGCACCCCGATTAACATCGTAGCCTTGAAAAGACCCATTTGATATCTGAGGAATTCTTTTCTTATGGGGAGCATATATGGAGTCCAGGTAGGTAAAATTGAGATAGCCCCGACTTGTGTTACTAGGAAGAGGCATGGGCTCCAATCCGCTTAGGTTCTTCGCCCAAATTCCCATCCTATCGCATTCAAGGTCAATATAGCTCGACTCAACATTGAACGTCGTATTTCCAGTTGATGTATTCGAGATAGGAATACCCAGGAGTGAAGAATAGACAACTGGTGATTCTGCAGTGATATCTTGCCACTCGTCGGAATTGTCGGGGGAGAGTCTGGGAATTTTGACATTACCCCATAGGTCCATACCACTATTCTTCGTGCTAGAGGGTGCCAGCACCATAGCACCATAGAGAGTGTTTATCAAGCTGATCGTTCCGTTGTCCATAGCCTCTATATGCCCTCCTCGCCTTGACCGTGAGGCTTCCATGGCATTATGGAGATGATCAAAATACGCCACTTTCCAGGCCGTCGCAAATGTTGCAATTTTCGGTTCAACTAGTCGAAGAATGGCCTGCGATCCTACTGGAGAGATGGCCCAGAGGATGAGGATACCGAAGCCAAGAAAATTGAATGCTCTCAAGTGGTACTGCGTGAGGACTGCACCACCAACGGTTCGACTTCCCAGCAGCTGTTCAAGGCTTCCGATGGACGCTCCTTCTTCCAGTTTCCACCGGGCAAACTGTGTCATGAAACGGCCTGTGATAGCCGCAAATAAGATGGGAAACAGAGTAGACAACTAGATTTTGGTAGGTCAGATCTAATACCCACAGAGCCGAGACGTGAACGCAGGGAAAGCAGTACCATTGACGCTGCACTATACCATTTTGCAATGTCGCTCAGTGTGGCTTCTTTCCCGGATTTGGAGCTTAGTAGGATTACGAATACAAGAAGCGTACATGGTATTCCAATACACAGGATGTCGGCGATGATCGTTTCATAGCTTACTTTGGTCCTTATGAACGGTTTGAGAGCCTGTGCAGTTTCAGTCTTGCTGCATTTCTTCTGATCGTCAAATTGCTGCTCAACCGTGACGAGCGGTAAATATTCCGTTGTAAACTTCGACTGTTGCGCCTGCTGGAGCTCGCCTCTGTACCCTGTCGCTGATGGCGAGACCCAATCCTGCTGCGTGATTAAGTATTGCCCATCCTGCGTATAGTAGTAGGCCTGAGGCATATGTTGTTCCATTGGTGGCGGGTTGAAATCAATATCAGGATAATCAGGCCCTAATGAACTCATGTAATGTCCCGGGGATGGAGGAGATATTGACCTCCTACGAGACATACTGGCCGGTTTAGACAATGCGCTTTGTTAGATGTTAGAGCAAATAGTGAGGAAGGAAAAGCGAAAATCTCCTAGACTTATTTATTAAATCGTCAGTCTCGGGCAGTGGCTATGCTTTTGGCCAAGTCTCAGCCCCCAGGTCGGATAGGAAAGGATCGGATGTCTCTGTCGATGCATACAGCATCATAATGCAGATCAACTGGCCCGTATTCGCCAATGGTAAGTAAGCCTGCATGTGCATTCATGTACACTGACCGAAAGAGAGCGGGACGGGAGCTGGGATGGCAATGGAACGGCATATGTCTAAAGTCCCAAATGGATAGTACAACCTTAGTGGTCTACTGCATGAGCAGCTACAGTAGCCAAGAAAAAGCATCTAAAAGTGCAACAATGTGTAGACTGGTGTGCCGTTTCCGCCTCCGTGCCATTGCAGATTACAACGCTGACTGCAGTGCATTTGTCCCCTTGAACTTGCATCTGGACGCATGTAGAGTAACATGGCTCCATTGGACTTGGCCAGTCATTTCGTAGCAGATACATCTAACAATGTATAGTAGGATTAGGCTGCGCATTTCACCTCAAATTATGGAAGGTCAAAGGATCTCATTGCCACAATGCGACACCACCTTGCCTCCTACTTGTGCAGAGTAGTCAAAGATCGTCGAGCAGTGAGTAAATGATGCTTGGCATTATACTACATAGACACAAGGCCGCCCACTTGGTTCCAAGTATCGAGTAAACTCTTGCACAAGTCTTACTAAGAACTAACACGGCCATATCGCACTTCGATGGTCGCTAAAGGGTCTTCCTCATCATAGCGACGACTGATCTGAACAACGACGGTATCGCCGCTGCTCAAGCGTAGAAAGGGACGGTAAATTCGAATGTAAAGGTTAAGTGTATTGGCTATTTGAAAGAAAAGGAAGAAGGAAGTCTCCCAAAGAATGTTTTTGGTCAACTCCTTGGAAAGGCAATTCCCGCAAATCCCCAATCCAGTAATTTCCGAGCTACCCGTTTGCTCAAGGCATGCCACAATAGGAAATCGACAGTGCTACCAATTAGGGAAATGGCAATGGTCCAAACCCGCATCGAGTAAGGGGAGTTGATTATAACTAAATGATGCTTGGAAGCATCGCTCGGAGCTTCATTGACTAATGGACAGTGAGATGATTGATCATGGCGGCAATATTTGACCAAGTATGGAGTCGTGGGCGGGCGTCGGGCTCGTTATATTTAAGACCATCCACCAGGCTGCACATTCAACACTCTTCAGAGCCCGCAGGATCGGTAAACAACGAATCTTGTTTGTTAGAAATCTAGCTAGAAAGAACTGACACAAATCTCCAACATGGCTTCCGACACTACGTGAGTACCCCTTTATCGTTCATACGCCATACCATTTTGCCGATATTTCCAGTTTCAGTCCTGCTAACCTACCTCACCAGATACACCCCCAAGGGGAAGACAGTAAAGGTTGGACAGTACGACGCGTACCTAGCTGAGGCTCCGGCAGATATTGCCCATAAGGAGTCCGCCATCCTTTATGTGTCCGACGTGATTGGCATCTGGTCGGACAGCCAGCGCCGTGCTGATAACTTTGCTGCCAAGGGCTACACTACCTTGATAATCGACCTATTCAATGGAGATGCTATCAAGATGAGCGAGTTCAACAATATCAACCTCCCCGACTGGCTCAGCAACGGAAGAGACGGAAAGGGCCCACACACGCCCAAGGAGGTCGACCCGATCGTGCAGTTTGGCATCAACTATCTCAAGAACGAAAGGGGCTTCAAGCACATTGGGGCCGCGGGATACTCCTTCGGCACGCGATATGTGGTCCGCCACTTCAAGAGCGGCATCGATGTCGGCTACCTGGCGTACCCGTCATTCGTGGAGGACAAGGAGCTCGCTGCCATCACCGGCCCGCTCTCCATCGCCGCAGCTGAGACTGATCACATCTTCACGGACGAGATGCGATACAGATGGGAGAAGATTCTGAAGGAGAATGGGAATGTTTATCAGTTGAGTCTTTACTCTGGTGTGGTCCATGGTTTCTTTGGCGCCGAGCGAGATGTGGACAAGGTTCATGAGAAGTTTGCTCAGGAGCAGTCGTTTCTCCAATCAGTTCAGTTCTTTGACAGATTCCTTGGTTAGCTAACATGCTCTCTCCCTGAACATTGATAACAATGTTACTAGACTGGGGGATGATAATGCATTGGCATGGATTTACTCCAAACTCCGGTGCTAATTCTAAATTTCCAAATAGAGAAAATAAGATAGAATGTATATGCAGTCTCAGCAATTGTTCCCATTTACTAGGAGTTAACAACTCTATTCTTCGCTAAGTCCGAACTAGATCATGGGAGTACGGGGATGTTTGAGTCATTCGGCGTCTTCCAAGGCGCGTCGTCCACGGGGCTCCGTGGAATCGAGTGTGCGCAGAGCGGTGATAATTTGGTGATGAGATTCACGCACCTCAACTCCGCATCTCCGGGAGGGGCCAGACTAAGGCATAAGCATAGATCAACGATGAAGCAACTTAACCACTAATACTGGACGTACTCAAACTACAGATGTTTATATAAATCACCAAAATCGTCACATTATCATCAGTAGTTACCAACAGCGAAAAAGTCATTCAATATTCCTTTAACTCAAAAACTCCAATCCACCACATACATTCAACCCCCCCAAAGTCCACATCATGAGAATCGGAGTTGCACCAGCAAGCACTCGGACGTGCAGTGCTGCCATTCGTTCCCTTCTGGAGCAGTCTTCCAACTCTGGCAGCACAATTGAAGTCAGAGCCTGGTATAGAGACTTGGCTAAAGCACCCTCCGAGTTTCTTTCGCACCCTCAATTCGAAGCAGTACAGGGCGATGTTTCCGACGCCTCCTCCTTAGATTTTGAAGGCTGCGACGTGGTACTCACAGTCCCTCCTCCATTCTTTACGCATGAGGACATGGTCGCGTTGTCAGAAAATATGAGCCGCAATATCAAGAGCGCCATTGAGAAATCGACCACCGTGAAGCGTCTTGTTATGCTTAGCAGCATGGGTGCGCATCTATATGATGGCGTGGTAAGTAATTTTCCCTCCACTTTACGCTTGCTATTAATTAATGGCAATGACTCCAGGGAGAAATCAAAACCAAGACGGCAGCTGAGCGAATTCTGGTTGAGACAAAAGTCCCAAGAATCACTGTTATTCGCCCTGCCTACTTCATGGAGAACTGGGCTACCCAATATCCCACGCTCAAGGCCCAAGAGCCTTCTTTGGTGTCGTATCTGACCCCCGCAGACTGGAAGCTCGAGATGGTTTCTATCAAAGACGTCGGCAAGGCTGCGGCGAAGGAAGCGACAACAGAGGCTCCGCAGTCGACTCCAGTCTACATCTACGAGCTTCAGGGGCCTAAAAAAGAAGGATATTCTTCCCTCGATGCGCGGGATGCGCTTGCCAAGATACTCGGGAAGGACGTTAATCTGAAGCTGATTGAGAAACCCAAGCTTGCTGAGTTCTTTGGGGCGTTTCTGCCTGCTGGGTGTGTCAATGAGTTTGTGGAAATGGCGTCAAGCTTTCTTCCAGGAGGGACACTGAGCGTCAGCCCTTCTCAGGCCAACGTAGTCCATGGAGGGACCAGCTTGGAGTCTGCATTGGAGGAGGCGATCCGTGAGCAGGAAAAGATTAGCGGAAGCAGCGCTTAGTGACAGTTGTGTTGACACTAAAGGCACTGGACATGTTGTTTTGATGTCGTTCAACGCCAAATTGGATACAGAGGCCTAGATGTGGATGGACAATCTCGGCGCAGGAGAGTTGGCATTTCATTTTGCTGATCAGGTAGCTCCAGGATAAAATTAGACTCTATACCAGCTATTTCAGAAAACAATTGATAAGCCAACATGTAAACTTGCCTGCTCATCCTCTTTAGCATACCGAATTAAGTTTCACGTGACAGGGAGAGACTGATCCTGGAAGTGAAGCCTTGCGGTTCCGAAAAGGGCAGAATCGCTGGGAACTTATTCGGGAATCTGCTCATGACAATTATAGTAAAACCAGTTGTTGAATGAAATAACGTGTAGCATTCCGCATAAAAGAGCCACAAATACCGTGAACAAAGCTAGAATGCCAGCTAGATTTCTTCTGCGCCGAAACCATTAGATGGTGGGCCGGCTGTGACTCGGTGGGTGACCTCATGTATGGTGCTCCGGGGTTACGCGCCACCTGTCAGGCCCGTCCCGCCGCGCTAAGGTTAAGTGTTTCCAGTTGGATAAGGAGGATTGATTGGCAGCTCCGCAACATCTCCCAGCTCGTGAACCATTCCCAATACGCTTTCTCTGGTGTCGCGTCGCGCGTGTCGAACCTTTTCTTTTCCTCAAAGCCCATGGCCTAATTGGTCCTAGTGCCGTGGACGGTTTGCTCCGGCTTTGTTGATGACTAATCGAGATCCGCGCAACCAGGGCGTCTTAGGTGTTTCGCTCTTTCAAGGAATTAGGACTCGACAGCTCAACACAACTTTAGAACTCCTTGATCCAATAATAATATTATCTGTTGAAATGAGGCAGTGAATCTCCAGAATAGACAATTGATTTAATACTAGGGTATTTTTCTCGATCACATAATTAGTTGATAGTAATAAACATGAAATTCTGCGCGATTGAATATAGACTGCTTTGGCTATAGGGTATCCTAAGCCGGTGACGGAAGCCAAGCAGTGTTACCATCAATAAGGGGCTCTTCAGGTGTAGGTCAGACTCGGGGTGTTTCTGGAAGCCACATTACGACACCGAGAAACAAAAGTCTAAAGAGAGGGGACGCGCAACCGCAGGCAGCAGCAGGTATGCGTGCAATGCCATCGGTCGATTGGACTGCACGGATTGATCATTGGTGGGGGTGGGTCAGCTGAGACGCCCGAAATGGTGACATCATCACTTGCTGCCCGCCACATGATGCATCATCGACACCGTCTGCCGCCTTTATTTTCTTCTTCATCCCGCTTCCTCTCTTCTTCTCAATTACTTTCTCCTCCCGCAACAGCTCTGACTAGAACTTGTCCCTCTACTTCGTTTGCTGTCTACTCGAACTACTATTACGCCGACCCCCAAACCGTCACCAGTACCGCCACGATGACCAACTTTTTTCTGTCAGCTGTGCTGTGCCAGCTTATGGCCGCCCTCGTTTTCGCTGCCCCCGTCGCAGAAGACGCCGTCAAAGTTGCCAACAAGGATGCGATTGGATATGGTGCCGGTGGAGGCTTCATTGGAATCGTCGTTTTGATCCTCGATATCATCACCATCGGTAGGCTTGCCCCCAGCTAAATACAACATGTTCCATGGTTGCTAACGCTTCTCCCTCTTACCAGTCGAGATCCTCAAGTCGAACCGCCCTCCTCTGTCTAAGCTCCTCTGGTCTCTTGTCGTCTTCTTCTTCCCCATCATCGGCATGATTATCTACTACCTATTCTCCAACCGCCACGCCCACAACACCTATGAGCCATTGCCCTAAACATTCACTTGCGAGTGGCGACTGTTCTCGAGTCCTGGAAAGGCACATTTCTTTTGGTGAGAAGACAAGACTTTGAACAGTGACAAGGGAAAGGGATGAGAGTGGAGGACTGTGTTTCGTCGAGCCAGCCACGAATTACTGTACGGGTGTTGAGTGACAGGGACTGGGAATATTGACTATTGATGGCATTATGCACGCACGTGACGAACTTGGTATGCATGCTCGGAAGAACATACATGCTATATAATGAAATTTTGTTAAATGCTCGCCATTTGCCCCCATTTCCCGCGACACGTGCTGTTCAACGAGGTTGAATATTTATCTCATGACTGGAAAGTCGCAGCATGATAAAAAGCAAATTGCTCATTGAATAACAGTCCCAATTACCAATTGTGATGTTTATGAACAGACTTCTATAGTCCTGTCCTCGACCTTAGCAGGGGCAGCACTGAGGTGATGAAGTAGCATACCTTAGTTATGGTTCTAAGGGTACCAACCTTAGTATTTGGGAGTCAGCTAATAGCGGGGTGCGGGGTTGAAGCTCCAGTGAGAACAGCGGGCAATGCCCCTCTATATTACCAATGGCCACTGGATGTTTTCACAAGGTCCGATTGCGGAGAAAATTTGTGACCCATCCATCCAGTTCTCTCTGATGAGGCTACTTCTATAGCATCGCAGCCCTCGACCTCTTCGCCATTGCTAGACTTACAATCAAGAAGAGGTAGCCTGGCCCGTGCCCGCACCATTGCCCATCATGAGCCAAGGGCTCCCAGATCCAACCACCGACCTCCGGTGGGGAGACTTCGTTGGAGGTATGATGCCCTCTCTCCCCTCTACCCCTCCACCCAGTCGGGACACATTCTTACCTTCCTTTCTCGTGGGCCAGCGATTCATGAAATATTTGCCTCCAATGCGCAAAAATTCCCAGAAAGAGAATGTGTCATAGAGACCCGGAGCTCGCAGTCCCCCGCGCGCTCTTTCAACTATCGCCAGATCAACGAGAGTGCCAATCAGCTGGCCCACCACTTCCTGAGCCATGGATGTCAAGTTGGGGATGTCGTCATGATCTATGCTTTCCGAGGGTGAGGTGCTCTAAGCCCTCGTTTTCAATACCTGGCCTCTTCTTGCTGACCATTCCCTCTGTAGCGTTGAGCTGGTTGTGGCCTACATGGGCGCGCTCAAGGCCGGCGCAACGGTCAGTGTCATTGACCCTCAGTACCCTCCAGAGCGCCAAAAGGTCATCTTGGATGTTGGCAAGCCCAAGTTCCTCGTCTGTATCCAGAAGGCCAACGACAACTTCGGCCCCCCATCCGAGTTGGTCATGGAATATGTCTCTAGCAGCTTGAGTCTCAAGTCCAGCGTCCCTGCCCTCGCCTTATCCAACGACGGGCAGCTCACGGGCGGCATTGTCAACGGCAGCGACTGTCTTGCTGGCTTTGGTCACGACGACCCCGCCAATGTCGTCGTCGGACCAGATTCTATCCCGACGCTCAGTTATACCAGTGGTACTCAAGGAAGACCTAAGGGCGTTCAAGGACGACACTTCTCGCTGACCCATTTCTTTCCCTGGATGGCCGACAAGTTTGGCCTCTCAGCCGACGACAGGTTTACTATGCTTTCCGGTATTGCGCATGACCCAATTCAGGTAAGTGAGCAATCATAAACCTTTAACACAAGCTGGCCTCGCATGCTGATTACATCTTTTCGATAGCGTGACATCTTCACTCCGCTGTTCTTAGGTGCAAAGATAATTTGCCCCCCCGCCGAGGCAATCGCATACGAGCTTCTCGCCGAATGGATGAAAGAAAACTCCGTCACCGTAACCCATCTGACGCCAGCCATGGGTCAGATCCTTGTCGGAGGCGCTATGGCTCGCATCCCTTCTCTTCGCAACGCGTTCTTCGTGGGTGACATCTTGACCAAAAAGGACACCAGCAAGCTGCGCGAGCTCGCGCCCAACACCACAGTCATCAATCTTTACGGCTCGACAGAAACCCAGCGTGCGGTGTCATTCTTCGAGATCCCCAGCAAGACCCTCCAGCCCGAGTTTCTCGAGGACCTGCCTGACATCATTCCGGTCGGCGAGGGAATGCAAAACGTTCAGGTTTTGGTTGTCGACCGCGAAGACAAGTCCCGGCTTTGTGAGATTGGAGAGCAGGGTGAAATATTCATCAGGAGCTGCGGACTTTCCGAAGGCTATTTAGGAGACGACGAGACCACGGTGGAATTGAACCGATCCAAGTTTCTGACCAATTGGTTTGTGGAACCCGCTGTATGGAGGGAAAAGTATGGCGAGGCCGGTATCTCTAGTGTGAACAAGGGCCCGCGCGATCGTCTTTATCGAACGGGCGATCTAGGTCGACGTCGCCCGGAGGGGGGCGTTGAGTGCACAGGACGCATTGACTCGCAAGTCAAAATTCGCGGTTTCCGAATCGAACTGGGCGAGATTGACGCCCATCTCTCGCGCCACCCGTATGTGCGTGAGAATGTCACCCTTGTCCGAAGAGACAAGAACGAGGAGCACACTCTGGTGACGTACTTTGTCCCCGAGACCAAGCGTTGGTTCGAAAGTCTCGACCATCAGGAACATGACCACCATGAGATGAGTCTAGACGAGTCGCTTGGCCAAATGATTCGACGTTTCCGGTCACTTTCCGAGGACTGCAAGAAGTTCCTCGCGGCTAAGATCCCGTCATATGCTGTCCCGAGCCTCTTCATCCCGCTGGCTCGAATGCCCTTGAGTAAGTGGCAGCCTTCCCCCTCATATAGCCTCTTGCTTTTAATAATGGGGAGCAAGTATATGTGGCTGTTTAACTAACATTTGTGTGCTTGTAGATCCCAACGGCAAAGTGGACAAACCCGCCCTCCCCTTCCCAGACGAGACCGATCTGGCGGCCTTGGCCAAGAGGAGGGCCTCCTCTCTCTCCGTTAACATGACGGAGACACAGACTCGGCTGGCGTCGATCTGGGCATCTGTGCTTCCCAACACATCCGCTCGGCTGCTCAGACCTTCGTCCAACTTCTTCGACGAGGGCGGCCACTCCATCCTGGCCCAGCAGATGTTTTTCAAGGTCACCAAAGAATGGAAGCACATTGACCTGCCAATCAGAGTCCTCTTCCAGTCGCAGACCCTCGAGGCGCTCGCTGCCGAGATTGACCGTGCTCAGGATCCTATCGGTTTACGTCTTGACGCCATGCCTCTTCCTGGAGATGGGCATGTCGAGGACGAGGCCTACGCCGTCGACGCGCGAGAGCTCGTGAACCAGCTCCCCCAGTCCATGCCCGCCGCAGCCGCAGATTGGGATTACTCTTCTTCTCCGACTGTCCTCCTAACCGGCGCGACTGGCTTCCTTGGCTCGTACATTGTCCACGAGCTGCTCGAGGGTCCCACTAAGGCAAAGGTCATCGCACTCGTGAGAGCCAAGGACGCGCAGGCAGGCCTGGCGCGTCTCGAGGCAGTCATCAAGGCTTACGGCCTCTGGTCGCCATCCTGGCTGTCGTCATCCAGGCTCGAGGTGATCGTGGGCGACATTGGCAAGCCGCAGCTCGGTCTCGCCAGGGACGTCCTGGAGCGTCTCTGCAACGAGGTCGATGTCGTGATCCACAACGGGGCCCAGGTCAACTGGATGCTGCCCTACTCCAGTCTCCGTGCGGCCAACGTACTCAGTACGTTGGCCTGCGTCCAGCTCTGTGCCGTGGGTAAGCCCAAGCGCTTCGCGTTTGTCAGCTCGACCTCTACTCTGGATACTGATTACTACGTCAACCTGTCCAACAAGGATGGAAAGGCTGTCATGGAGGCGGATGATTTAGAGGGAAGCCGAAAGGGGCTTGCGACTGGTTACGGCCAGTCCAAGTGGGCAAGCGAATACCTGGTGCGTGAGGCCGGGCGACGAGGCCTGGTCGGCGCCGTCATCCGCCCTGGATACATCACCGGCGACTCAAGATCTGGAATCTCCGTCACGGATGACTTCCTTGTCCGTCTATGGAAGGGATCTCTGCAGGTGGGTGGGCGCCCCGACATCAGCAACACAGTCAACGCCGTCCCGGTAACGCGGGTCAGCCGCATCGTAGTTGCCGCCGCTTTCCACCTCTCCGGTGCTACTAAGGAGTCGCTCGCAGTGGCACAGGTCACCGGCCACCCGCGCGTGACTATGAACGACTGGATTGGCGCCCTCGAAATCTATGGATACAACGCACCGCTCATCCCTTACTCTGAGTGGTCTACCAAGGTGAAGAACTACGTTAATGATGCCGCGGAGAAGGAGGAGCATGCCCTTTTGCCCCTGTTCCACTTCGTCGTGGGCGACTTGCCAGGGAACTCTATCGCACCGGAGTTGGACGACGCCAATGCGCTGGGGGCTTTGGGTCTCTACGATGCGAAGCAAGGGGCACAGGCTGATGCCCAAGCCTCGAGCAATGTTAATATCGATGTATTCGGGACTTACCTGGCGTACCTCGTTACGATCGGGTTCCTTCCTGCCCCGTCAGGGGAGAATGGCGGCCAGCCATTACCAAAGCTAGATGATGCTTTGTTACAAGCTTTGGCTGGTAGTCAATTCGGTGGTAGATCTGCGAGATCATAGAGATGAAAATGGCTGGAGAATTAAAAATAATAATAATAATAATAGAAGAGCGATCTCTTTCCAGGTCTGGAAATGAATTTCGATGAATCCCATGTAAGAAGTCAGGTCTGTCTAATGGTAGATTTCAAGACTTTCTTACCAAAAATATAAGATGAGTTACCGGCGAGTTAGCGAGTGAATGCGATAGCCCATTTCTGCGAGAATAATAGCCGATATAGTCGTCGGTATTGTCGTCTCAAAACGGTTCTTTACAAGCGACGGATGTGTCCAGCCCGACTTTAAGCATCATAGTGACCACGTTTAATACAAGGTTCTCGACGATGAGACTTATGAGTTACGAAGTGTGATACTGACAAGGGCTATAAATTGACTGGTAGGCTTCACCGCCACGTGTAAAGGGATCGAATTTGGGAGTTACTATCATGGTATTCCAAATAGTTAAGGGCTCACGATGCCCTATAGTCAACGGTTAGTTGCCCAATAGTGCTTCGCACATTTAAGCGAAATATTCTAGTAATAAATTTCAAGCACTTTCCGTGGTGGCAGTTTGGGAGTGCGCCCACTAGAGATCCTGCTCGGAGTCTCGGACCGTCTCGGGTCCTCGTATAATTCTCTCCTGTGAGAAGAGCCCACTTACATGGCTCAACAACCCTGGCACAGAGAAGGTATCCTGGGGAATATTGGGACTTCGCATGATCTGGTAGACTGACCCGGAAATTTATTGCATTGGCCATGTGATTTGAAGACACAAGGACTCTAGATCCTGGGGGGAATTTCGTGAATGAGGCATCCACGCTCAATTCATGGGAACGATTTGAAGCTCAATTTCTCTAAGATGTAGAATGGGTGATATGTGGAAGGGGATTTTTGCAGAAAGAAGATAGAGTCTCATATCGTGTAAGCTAAATACATTTTGCACGTCATTCTTATGTCTGCGCTGGGGGCACCCATCCAATCTGCTCAATCGGCCAAGCAATCCAAGGTCTGAAATCTTCGCCGAGCAGAGAATAAACCTCCCCCGAGATGTAAGATGACCATCCCTCAATCCACCAAGATTCGGCTTCCAGATCTCGTAACAGCGGCGCAAAGAAAACGAGGATGCACATGGCCTCGTTATTGGCCTCGCTCAGAAGATTCAGATATCCTTCGCCCACCTCGTAGAGCCACGTGTAGTATCCTCTGAACTTGTCCTCGATATTGTAGATGTCATCGCGGAAGGTGTAGCTACGGCTCAGTGTATGGATCGCCCCAAGGAGAACACGCTGCCTCTCCTTATCCTTGTCATTTAGACTGACGATCCGGGAGTGGAGCTCAGACAAGGCTGGGTGCTCGATCGGAGTATGCGTCTTCCAGTAGCTGAAGATCTTCTCAGTGCTCTGGAAGACGAGGGCCACGGGTGACCTGTCAAGCGCATGGTGCGACTCCCGGATCAGATGGGTCCCGCGCAACAGGTGTACCGGCCCGGGAAGCAGCCCGCTACCAAGCATGATGGAGTCGTCCAGCCTCCGGGGTCTAGCAAGGTTGAAGAAGAGTGTGAGCAGAGAGAAGATGTACATCGAGCTGCCGTTCTCGGGGGTGATGAGGGGCACGAGCGGGAGGCCCTTCTCCAGGGAGCTGGTGTGGTAGCGAGTGGCATGGTATAGGAGGGACTCTCTGCGATCCGGCTCCTGGTGGGCTTTGTGAAGGGCGGCAAAGGCACAGATGCCGTCCATGATGTAGTCGGCTCCTAGCGCAAGCTGGGGCACATGGATACGCCACATGTCGCGCACGGGCGTCTCGGTGGACAGCGTGTAAGCCGTCAGGGCGCAGAAGTGGTGGAACATCTCCAGGTCCAGGTATGGCGGCTTCTCCAGGGCAAGCTCCTGATGCTCGTGGGTCTGCTGATCGGCTGCTTGCTGGATGTAGTCGCATTTGACGCCCCGCTTGAGGCAGTTGACGCAGGACGGGTGCTGCTCATCGCACTGGTGGTTATTGAGTCAGCATCTTGTGCGATATGGGGGGCGGTAGTGGGAGGTCAGGACGCACCTTGACTCTTCTGGCTCTGCACCTCTGGCATCCAGTTCGAGACTTGTAATGAGGCCTTCGCCGGATGACCAATGCCTCACCCTCTGGTGCGCTTGACATGGTTTGACGGGACAATCGAATAGAAGGTGATGGATTTCTAATTGACCTCTGGGATACAATTATCTAAGGTCCTAGGAACGGTGAGCAAGTCGAGACCGAGAGTCTTTCAGTGGATGTCGCAATGGGACTGGGCAGCGACAAGGGTCACCTTGTAATAAATAACCTCTGCTGGGCCTAAATTCATAGCTCCTCCGGACCCAAATTGTCCGTCTGGTGGACCCAATTCATGTGGCCCTGTTGGGAAAGGATGCCATCGAGGATATATTAGGCGGTTTAATGTTCTACATGCCAGCTTGAGATGTAAGAGTATTCAAAATACATTTCCCTATTGCCCACTGATTGAATCTTTGGAACATATTCTAGAGACGAGAGCCGGATAAGCCGTTTCTTTCGCTCGCCTAAGACAACTCTCCATGTTTTCTTTGCAGAGTCAGATTTAGTTCCTGGTTATTGTATCGGCCAACTCGTTCAGCTGCTTCTCAATCACTGAACTCCACTAAAGGCGTTTTCTTGCATCTACACAAAAAGCAATCCGCTGACTGATCATGGTGGAATTAGATCATGGTCGCGTCGCGGTTTATACACAAAGATAGAAGGCCGTGGGAAGAGTGCTGACGATATTGACGATAGAAAGCGGGCATAAACCGAAAGTTAGATCGAACCGAAGCCTCAGAGAAGCCTCAAAGGACAAGTTACTTGTACTGGGGAATGAGGTAAGCTCACTTTCCTTGGCTTACTTGGGGTCTAGGAATGAATTGGAGGGGTTGCCGATCTGTGGTTCTTTCTAGAGATAGAAACAATAGTTCTAGCCGCATTGAAACACAATGTCTCGGTTATCTCGGCCCGTATTGCTGACCGCTGGCTTGCTGGCAAATGGGAGCCGCCTTTGGCAACCTGGGGGTCGAATCTACCCCTGGGCTGCCATTGCTTGTCTTGAGTAATGTCCTTGGCCTGCTGTGACTACGACTGGTGTAGCCGCGAACAAGCCTCACAAATATTACCGAACGCCCATCACTTGCACAGCAGGAGAACGATGAGCCTTGGCGTGGGTGCGCGGTAGGGATTATTGGATGCAATAGTACCGTCATCTTTATGACTATTCATATTGTTTCCACACATCAAAATCACCCCATTCGTTGTCTTGTGAGACCTGCATGCGGATAGTTTTCAGCTCCAAGCCCAATTTCATGCCGCACAGATGTACTTTTGAAAGCGTAGAAGCATCATCGGGGTTATTGAGTGCGCCACCGTCAGCCGTCATTTTGTTTCCGCACATTGCAACAACCCTATTCGTTGCTCGTTGTTTCACCTTACTCACATGCAGCTGAATTTTAGCAAAGCTGCATATGAAATGAACATTTAAACTTAGGAAGACGGTAAGCTTGTTAAATTAATCCCTCACAGGGGGCATTGTCAAGCCCTTTAGTATATGTAGATATTGTGTCCCACCTCCGCTACACATCTTCCTGAATGATTCCACAACTGTTCCACGATATCCATCCTTTTTCTTTCTGGTCATCATCATGGCGCATCTTATACTAAGAGCACAGCTTATCCAATCATTGATTTGTTTCATACTTTTTGCTAGGCTTACCTCCCAAGCTTCAGCTCCAACCATCACACCACCACCAAACTTGGTGCATCAGCGACAAGAAGACGAAGGGGCAAACTTTTTCGGATACCTACCTCTCAGCGACGGCCGCTGTAAGCATCCATTTCTTAAACTTGTGTTGAATTTAAAATATGGCTAACGATGGACACCTCTTGCAGATATCACGGAAACATGCGAGGAGGGGGGAATATACTACGCTTCGAGTCGCTGGGCAGCCTGTCTCACTAATACGGCAGACCTCTGGACAGGCTGTACCGGTGCCTCCGTCTTTTTGGCGCCCATTGGCACAGGCACATGGTATTTTCTTCTGATCCCACTGCGAAAATCTGTTGGAGCTTAAATAACACCCCTTTTTCAATAGTCCGCCGTCCATGACTTGCAATTCGGTATTGGTCTACAACAACCCGACCGATGCGACCGCGCTGTCGTATGTCGGGTGTTGGAGTAGTAGCCTGACGAAGACGTACTACAGGCAGATTTCTACGACTGCAAGCGCATCATCCGAAGCTCGGGCCGGTTCGACAAGCACAAGCACGAGCACGAGTTCAACGGTATCGTCCAGTCCGACTGAGACGCCTGCTCCGCGGAACCTTGCTTGGGTTGCCGGGCCGGTCGTCGGTGGGATTGCTGGCATCGCCATCATTGCTCTCCTAGTTTGGATCATCGTGCTGCTGTTGCGGAAGAGACAATCTCATGCACCAACAGCCCCCGAGAATCAATTTGTCCAACCCGACTATGCCGCCAAGCCGCCATACCAAGCCCAGGTATATCCATCACCTGTGCCAGAACAGCCTCCGAGCGTTATGTCAATGGGTCCGCCGCAGTATCCTCCTAGTACACCCACGTATGAGTTAGACCCTGTTACCTATCATGGGGCTAGACCTGGGGCATAAATATGAGTGTGGTTGAGGGAATGAGGGGCAGTAATATTAATCATTCTACGGGGTCCAGTGCTGTATAATGTAATATTACAAGTCAATACCTGCAGAGTAGTCCTAAAGTTAAGTAAAGCTATAAGAATTCAGCTAGGCCTCTCCTTATTAAAAACAATATATTATATATAAGGACCAGAGAATAAATAATAAGCGCACGGTGCTAAAAATAGACGCGAGGAGTAGAAATAGACGCGAAGTTGCTGGCAACCTACGCAGGGATGAAACACGGAGTAGAAAGCAGATCCTTGGAGGCTTCGACGGACAGCCAGTCATGCGTCTGATGGCCGTGACACCAAGTCCCAGATTATACGCACCTATATGGCGTCCAGCTTGCTTGTGGCATTGATGGGGTCAGTCTCTAATTTGTTGACCTGTAACCCGGACACTGATTTAGTCCATAAGTACCTCTGCAGAATCCTTATCCTTCATGTGAGAAGATACCCTTTGGAAATTTCGATAATCCCAACCTCCACTGTTAGAAACGCCTTGCCTGAGCACTGCCACGTCTTTGGTGGAGACTTTGTTCAGGCAGTAACTGGAACTAATAGCCCAGTCCTATCATGTAGAGTCATATGATGAGAGGAATCATATCCCTGTAAAGCATGCAATTCCAGTTCACAGCAGACTTACTCATGCGGTAGGAATAAATGTTCCAACGCCTGCCTATCAAATTCAAAATTTAACGACCCCTTGCGCTGGCAATTCCTTTGTTAGTTAGATGCACTATGGTATCAGACTTGATTGACTTCGGAAAGCGGGAGGCAACTCCTCCGCACCCCCCTCCGTCTGGACCTGGACGTGAACAATGGTCCGGCTGGGCAGCTTGGGACCAGCATTGCAGGCTACAGCAACAGCGCAGACGCCTGGATGCCGTTTTTCAGTTGATTACACCGTCTATCCAATATTTCTATGCACTAGATGAGGAGACTCTCAGTACCATCAGTGAGTCAAGATATCTAGGAAGAAACAACTCTCCAGGGTGTACTAAAACGCCGGTGTGCTATCCATAGAGCTGCCGGACTTGGAGTTGCCAGAGCCGCCAAACCTAGAGAGTTGCACTCGCGACCAAATGCATCGTTTTCTCCATGATTTTCATCGCTCTGTATTTGACTTGGCATTGCCGCGGAGCCTCGACCATGACCACCGGCATTCCACCAGACAGACTACCCTCGGACGCTATCGTCAACCGTATAAGTCGCTCCAGGTTTCAAATTCAATCTCGCTCGTAAGGCTATTAGAGGTTCTTCCAAGCACGGACGAGAGGGGCCCGATCTTGACGAGGCTGTTCACGGCAGATTTGGATTCCAATGATCGTCCTCAGTATAGAGCGGTCTCTTACGCATGGGGTGAAATGTCCAGCGAGGGACAAAAGTGTCATATATACGTCAGCGGTTTCAAACGCACTGTGACTCCGAATCTGCTTAGTGCGTTGTCTTGTCTCCGGCATCACCATCACCCGAGGATATTGTGGATTGACTCAATATGCATCAACCAAGCTGATGACGAGGAGCGGAGTCAGCAAGTCGGACTCATGGCCAGGATATATGCCGAAGCACATAGAGTCCTAGTATATCTCGGGCCATCTACGCCTTTGTCAACTAGCTTCTTCAGCATATTGCAAGATCTCGCAGGGAACGCCGACAACGATGCTGGAGAAGAAAGTCATCGTGACCATGACCACAACTACGATCACGACCATGACTACGCCGACTACCAAAACAGAAACGCGGATCCAATGTTCTGGAAGAAATGCCATGATTCTGGACCAGATCTCATTGAAGGATTCATCGAGCTCTGCACGAGGACCTGGTGGACAAGGATCTGGGTTTTGCAAGAGTATAGCCTGAACAAACGCGATCCAGTCTTCTACTGCGGGCGGCTAAAAGTACATAATGCAGTCTTGACCAAGAACTTCAACAGAATATACGAGTGGGTAGAACATCGGAAACGACATCCTACCCAGTTGAAAAACTGTTCTCATCCAGCATGCGACAAGTTGATCGTGTCTGCTACTCACGACGCCGGAGAGATTCTGAGTCGCGAGCCGGAAGATAAAGAAGACGAGCAACAGACTACGGATGGATGCAAGATTCTTGAGTCTACAGACGGAAAAGACCCCAAAGGATGGATCCCCCAGCAAGGATCCCATGGGCGCCTGTGGTCGATATGGGGTCGGCGAGTCTGGAGAGTCCACCATGTCCTCACGTGGCGTTACTTCTGTTCGCCCGCCTCGTTGCCAGTGTTCTCGACAATGGGGATGCAGGCTCAGTGCACCATGCCTCACGATGTTGTCTACGGTTTACGCGAACTCATGGACCCCCTCTTCAAAAGCCTCTTCCCACCAGACTACACGATGCCTATATCGAAGCTATTCTCCCGCCTTGCAGTCTACGTCCTGGTGGTGGACATGTTTCCTAACATATTCTGGCACTTCCCTTACCGGCTCCGAGATCGACTCCAAGAGGGAGAGGTCGCTGTGCCTTCATGGGTACCTGATTTCACAAGGCCACGCGCCGAGAGAGCCGCTGAGCTGGCGCCGTCTCATGCTAGACTGCATTCTGAGGATTGGGAGCATAGCCCTCACATATTCGACCGCGTGCTGTTCATGAACGGGCTACTACTTGACGAGGTTGTTGAAGCTTTCCCTCTGCCCTCCCACGACCCGTTCTTGCTTTTGCAACAGCTGTGGTATATCGAGCGGCTCTATATGGACCCCAGCTATCTCCACAGGGACGATGAGCAGCAGAGGGAGACCTTCCATGAAATGCTGACAGCCTTGAATGGCATAACTGCGTATCCGAGCATAGCTTGGGCGACTCGAGACGCGGGTAGCCCTACTAGTGATGTTTCCATCGTCGAAGTCATCGGGGAACTCGCAGAGCTACAACCGTTGGTAGCCGAGTCTCTTCGGAGCTATTTGGACAAGATTCCATCCATTGTTGACGTCATCATGGGCAAAGAGCATTGCGATGATGAAGAATCAGCCGAGCGGACTTGCGAAGAAGATGAGGAAGGATCAGATCGAGAAGATGCGTCAGGCCTTGCGCGACCCGTTAGAGCCATGAACATAGCAACAGGCGATTCTGGCGGCATTCCTTGTATCGACCGTAAAGGCTACATTTTACAGATAGGGAAGCGTCTCTTTGAGCTGGTCGACTTCCTTACCGCGGCACCAACCTGGACAGACTTGGTCGGCATATGCGCCTTTGACTATCACAACCTCCGCGCGCAGGTACTCCACAGGCTCTGCATCGGTTCGGCACAAAAAATTGCCGAATCCATAGGGCATATGCCTAACTATGAGTACTTGCAGGAGCGTCTTGGTCCTCGACAGCGGACCTCGGAATATGGCACTACACACGCGCCTGCTGTGTATGGGAAGTACTTGAAGGCCATTGAGAACGGCGTGTGCCACCCTCTCGAGACGCACTTCAGAGAGGCTTTTGTGATAGACCTGGCGGCAAAGTTTCACAAGGCCACGGCGAGCATGATTGGCCTGGAAGGGGACAGTATTTTCAGAGACGCGGATGGCCAGGCTGTTTCGCAGGAAGCGGAAAGGGAGTCAGCTGAAAGGCCGCAGCCCATTGCTTGCACGATCCCTGTTGCCTGGCTTAGTGACGCGTCAAGTGAGGGGTGGCAGGGCGAAGAAAGGTTAGCATACGATGGAGATCTATCGTCCTTGGGCTTCCCGCACTTTGAGGACGGCTACCCTTTTGGTAGCCTGACACGGTGGCGGCAGCCCGAACGTCTGATCAAATACGACGTGCACATAGGCCTGCAGTGTGTCGTCGCTGCACTCGCGGGGCGTGAGCTCTTCCTGACCGAGACCGGGCTAGTCGGGCTGACTGGAGTGGGTGTGGCCGGAGTCGAGAGAGGAGATGATATTTTCATGCTTCAAGGCATGTCTCACCTGCTTATTGCTAGACTAGAGCCCTCGCCTGCCCCTGGAGCTGCGGGGAGGAGCAGACGGGAGATGTCGACGAGAGGGATGAGAAGAGAGATAGTGGGCACATCTACGGTGAAGGGTATTGATCCCAAGGATGGAGTGGTGGAGGGAGCTACTATCCCCTCTTGGTTTAAGCCTATTACGGACGCCCGAGGACGTTATAGGTTCTGCTAGTTGTTTTATAGTTATTCGTTTATTTTTTCTATAAGTAAATTCATACGGGCCCTTGGCATCGTTCAAAGTCGTAGTAGCTGAAATGTACCATAACAAATTGCTGTAGCAAAGGCCAAAAGAGGGACCCAAAGTAACACCGGTGACCTAACACTCCTCCAGCCTCTTCCAGATTTCTGACCTTCTGCCTTCATTTTCTTTCCTCTACAAATATTAACCAGTCTACACTGAGGTTGCGATCATGGCCGGACTCGCCCCCGCCCTGTCGTCCGCCATCACCGTCTCGGCGCCCTCGCTCCTACTACCCTCCTCACTGCTGCTTCTGCTAGCAGGAATGGGCGCCTTGCTCGGCTTCGTCTGGTCCCGAGACCTCGACGTTGACCCGGTGTAGGGGATAGCAAGTCCGTGTTTGTCGTTTACGTCGCCGTTCTAGTGGTTTCGCTGACCTCGACGGGCAGTTTCGCGCTCGGTCAGAGACCAGTCCCCAAAATCATCATAATCTTTCCATATATGCTGTAGATGTCCAGCAGGCATATCCAGTCAAGTGTTATTTGAGGTTCACGTCAAAGTAGAAGAGTAAGCCACTAACCCCTCTACAGGCTAGCTGATTGACTCCACTGTAGATGCCAATTTGAACCCCTGACCCAGCGCTCAGCACGCCCCTAAAGCTCCCTATTAGCTGACCGATCTGGACGTCCAGTGCCAGTTCCAACAATCGATATTGTTTTGATCGTCATAAATGGCACCTCACAGTTTTCTATAAAATCATTTTGCTCTCCAAACTCCTCATTTCATATCTCTCCGCATTAATCCGAACCCAAGGCTCTAAAGACGTGTGGACCAATTCAGGTTAAAGAATAGAGTTATCAATATCATCTTTGGTTGCGGTGAAAAGAAGGTGAGTTTCCAATTGTGCCATTCTCAATACAGCAATTACTCAGCATGTCTTAAGGCATTTTATCGCTGAGAAAGACATCGGCACAGCCCGAATTTGGGAAAATTGAACTAAAAATAAGTAGCCTCGTATGTAGCTCTGTCCAAGATCTTTGCTAATGCCCTACTAATTGCTTGGACCAGGCCTCTGATAGGCGGTAAGGCTCAGATGGAGAACGCCAAATGGTCGTAGCGTTGATTAAATACGAGCGGCCAAGCTGAGAAATCTCTACGCGAGCTAACTGTATTAGTATTCATCTTTACAGGCATAGCCTTTCCTCACCTCCCTTTCCCCTGACATACTCTCTACTTCGACCGCAACATATCGAAAAACCGCCCAAAATGCAGCCCTTGATCGTTCTATGCCTCATACTTGGCTGGTTGGGATCCCAAGTATCGGCTGCCAATGTCCTCCGCATCTTTGAGAGGCCTTTTTTCCATGGACATCGTGCCTCTGTGTCGAAAGACCAGTGCAAGGATCTCAAGTATGTTACGTCCCCCGACATCGCCCTGTTGATATGTCCGCCTCGGCCCTAACGCGCGACCATAGAGAATTCACATTGGGCGTTCAGTCGCTGAAGCTGCCGGAAGAGGAGGGAATCTCATGCTACTTCTACGGGTATGTTCCCTTCACGTGTGCTGTCATTGAGAAAAAAAAAAGGTATATGTCTCTAATCTGACGGAATTGAGCAGAGACCCTGGATGCGCTGGTGCGCCATACCGAGCATACACCACAAGTCGGCAGGACATTCAAGAATATGCCGGGTCTCTATTGTGCGTCACTTCAACGACTTCCACATAGGAAAGGGGTGGTTGGATCTCTAGCAGAAGGGAAGTCGGAGGTTGGGGAATGAGGCAACAGTTTCGTCACTCGCCATGGATCGGAAGTCTTTTATACAGAGCATCAGACCAGCCACTACGTACTTGTGGTATATAGGTACCCACAGGTATACAGCTGTCTTCTAGAGGTACTCATTTAGTGAAAGCTTATAGCTGACGAGACAAGAGGTTTAATTTAATGTGTGATCTAACTCTTCCTACGTTTATTGCGTACCGCTATAATTCATGCTGTATCTAACTACCTGTCTATTACCATCTGTATTAAATTAAGTTCAAGGAATGAAAACCCCATGTAGCCCATCATGAACCAGGTCCAACCACAAACCGGAATATCCAGCGCTCCTGGCATCGGTGACGAACTTGACAAACTCCGACAACTGTCTGCTCTCGCCATGCTGCCGATACCTCAGCGGCACAAAAGCCTCGTCCACCTCGGACCCCGGACCTGGCTTCTCAATCATAGCCACGAGCAGCGGGAAGTCCAGCCCGAGACCCGTCGCACAATCTCCCTGATGTTTTGCTAGCCGTGACAAGAGCAGGATGATCTCATCGGCAATGACACCCGCAGCCTCGTCCTCCACCCCGAGCGGATATCGAAGCCGGTGTATGATGAGCAAGGCGCCGAGGCGAAAGTTTTGAGCCTGCGCGACTATCTTTGTCGCCTCCAGCGGTGAGAAGGTCGTGAATAGGTCTGGTGGCCATTCCGGTACCCATGAAGAAATGCGCTCCTCGACATCCGCGTATGGGTCGTGCTCTGCGTTTGGAGTGATGCCCTTGACCTTGCATTCATGGCTTACCACACATAGGTCGTGGATGTATGAAAACAGAGGCATTGATATCCCCAAGAGTCTATCGACGGTGCACATGTTTCTCATCGGGATCTGCACAACGGGCACCTCCCGTCGAAAGAGACAGTCGACAGTGTCAACAAAGATGGGCGCCAGAGTGATGGAGTCGAAAGAAGGTTCCTTTAGAAGTTGCGGATACCATTCCTTTGTGGCCAGCAGAGTGGACTTGGTAATTGTGCGTGTGTATGGGTTTGGTATCAGCGAGTTATACACCAGCATGATCTGGCCCAGCATAATCACCACGGCGGCATCGCCAACACAACTGATAGAGCCTGACAGTTTGACTAGATGACGGAGACAAGACGCAGCTAGCGTCAGCTCATTGTCGCGTAGACGTGGATTGTTCTGGTCGAAGAGAGCCGACATGGTGGCGTAATATGCGTTTGAAAAGACTTGCGGGGCAAGGTCGTATATAACAAGCGTTGCCGACTGGTACAGCGAGGTAAAAGTCTCCCCGAGCATGAAGAACCGATGAAACCCCTGGAAGCCATCAACGGAGCCTATGACATGTTTGATATTCTGAGAGAGCGGGCTTTGTTGAATCGCAAACAAGCTCCTTGGGAAAGGGAAGCCCCGGCTTTCGAAAGCCGAATGCTGCCAGTCGCTCTTACGGCTTTTTTTCGTCTGGTTTACAAGAATCATGGTATTCGGGTATGGAGTAGTTGCAGCTTCTATCGGGCGAGTGCCGACATCAAGAATGGTAGAAGAGGCTGACTTTGCCACGGGAGGACGTCCCATCCGCTTCTTCACCCGCAACACACACTCTCTCTTCAGCTTCAAACAACGGACGCATGATTTCTCGACGCCGGCGTAGGTGCATTTCTCTTTGTATTTATGGCAGCGTTCACATGCGGCTCCTTGGCCAGCAGCGCCCGTAACCAATGTCGCGGTGGACATGTTCAGGGAGGTGTACCCGGTTCTTCGGAAATGTCGTCAATTCAGCGAGAAGGCTAACGACTGCCTCGAATCGCCGATCTAGCCATATCATAAGAGACCACTCAATTCCAAGCTCGGATCAAGGGCAAGGTGCAGGTCATGGCGATCAATTCGCAATCGAGTGAAGGATTTGGATCGGTGAAGCGAAAGGAGAAGATCCTCAGATCGGTGCCTGCTTAACTAATCATGGAGCTACTGATGCCATCGCTCCGAATGAAACCCCAAAATACCTTAGGCGGCAGTTAGCGTCAGAACCAGCAATTTATGCCCTGGTTTCAGCAGGCAGGTAAACTGCGTTAATGTTGACTTCACTACATGTCCATATGTAGGTACTAAGAGTGAGAAATATTCAATCCGCTGCTATTGTTTAGGCTGCCAATAATGACAATCCAAAGCGTAGAATCGTTATCTGCGCCCCTTAGCGTTTAGCTAGTCTTTTTGCGGGAATAACGAAGAGATCTTGGTTTTGATGCTCTCATTAGAGGCGATGACGTTCATGACGTTGAATCTCACTGTCAACTTTAGGGCGTGACAGTGTTCAACCTTTATTTAAGCCCAACCGCCTGCGTCTCTCAACCATCGTCATTACATACAACTTACTGCACACATCCAGCTAAACATCATGAGTTCAACGCACAGAGATAGTACCTCCCTCAAATATGACTTTCATCATGAAAACACCACACACACCTTTGATATCAAATGGACTTCGCTGGGCGACCCTAAATCCCCACCAGTCATTCTCATTCACGGCACGCCCTGGTCATCCCGTGTCTGGACTCCCTTTGCCCTCTCCTTATCCCGCCAGTTCCACGTCTATATCTTCGATAGGCCCGGCTTCGGCGACTCGTCGCCAGAAAGATTACAACCTGGCACAGCAGACAGCGGGGATCCCGTTATCAAGTATGACGGCGATCTAGCCCGGCAAGCTGAGGTCTTCGCCGCACTATTCAAATCATGGGAAGCACATTGGGGTGGTCAGAAACCTCATGTGGTGGCACACGACAATGCTGGTCTTGTGAGCTTGCGTGCACACTTGCTTCACCACTGTGATTATGCGAGCCTTTGCCTGATTGACGTTGTCGCCATTGGGCCATTCGGTCAACCGCTATTTAAAGCTATTGGGGAGAATCCTGCTCTATTTGAACGGCTTCCCGCGACCGCTTTCGAAGGGATTCTGGAAAGCTACATCAGAGATGCTGCCTACCACGACTTATCCAAGGACACCGTGCAGCTCTTGAAAGAGCCTTGGATCAGGGAGGGTAGTGGGAAGGCTGGATTCTTCAGAGAACTATGCCAAGCCAACGTCAGATCAACGGATGCTGTGGAAGGCCGGTATGGAGAAGTTGGACCGAAGGTTCCGGTCAAGATCATATGGGGTGCCGACGATAGGTGGCTTCCAGCGGAAACCGCACAGAGGCTAGGGGATGCGCTCAAAGCTCAGGA